ACAGGGAAATGCCTTTGATTGTCGATACCAGGTGAGTAGAATTTAGTACCGCAGAGGTGGTTTTTCCAGTGAAAAGTCGCAGTATATCAGCAAGAAAACGTGCCAGTTTATAGGTGGGGGAGTTGATAGTAGAGATGATGGGACGAAAGGGTGTATCATCTTTGTGTATCTTTGGAAGGCCATATAATCTTGGTGGTCTGGCAGCAGAGGGTTTCAACGAGAACTGTTTGGTCTGATCAATTAATGCCATTGAATCAGAGATGATTTTGTTCGTTTTGGTAACCAGGCAGTTGGTGGGATCTCTTTTTATTTTTGTATAGCTGCCATCGTTGAGTAGTTCTTGAATTTTGTTGTTATATTCTGTTTTGTCCATGATGACAGTGGCATTGCCCTTGTTGGCTGAGAGGATGACAATATCATCTCTCTTTTTTAATTGAGATAATTCAAATCGTTCATCTTTGCTGATGTTGCTGGGTGGCAACTTAGCGTTTTTGAGGGTTGCAGCGATTTCAGATCTTGCTATGTCTGCAGAGATGTGACTCATGCCCTTGAGTGCAACGTCGACATGGGCAATGATATCATTAACCGGTATGTGTCTCGGTGTGACAGCAAAGTTTAGACCTTTAGCTAAAACGGATTTCAGACCATCAGAAATGGAATTGTTACTGCGATTAAAAAGGTTTAACATAGCTATTTCTGTGACCAGTCACAAGCTAATCACTCAGCTATTTCAATGCTAAATTCTATGCTAATTCCTTTATCAAGGGGTGCCTCTGTGGATGTGTATACTTTGACTTTAACATAGCCATTTCTGTGACCAGTCACAAGCTAATCACTCAGCTATTTCAATGCTAAATTCTATGCTAATTCCTTTGTCAAGGCGCTTTGTTTCTTCTCACACAGCTTAAAGGTCGCGATCTGAGCGTGGCTTTGTTCGCTCTAGCGCTGTCCTCCAGACAGTCTCGTCCCTTCACCTGATGAAGGCCCCTTGTGTTGTGGCCGAAACGTCGTGAGAATTTTATTGTGTTATTTTATTTTATCAATTTATTATTTTATTCTCATTCTACGTGACTTTACCGAAAGAGCCAAAGAAGATGAATCCTTGCAGTCACGAAAGCTTTAAATCGAAAAGTATGATTTTTGTTTGCATCTTGACTGCAGGTATTGTGGTTAATGCGGACATGAATCCTTGTAAAAAAGTTTCAGTTTTGTTGCCAGAAAAAAGGGGAAAACCCCTATTATTACATTTTAGTACTGGCAAAGGAGGTCTAATGAAACACAAAAGCTTGTTGTGACTTGTCCGTTACAGTGAGTGGAGGTTAAAATTCAACGCCATTAAGAAAATTGTCTTTTCCACAATTTTGTCTCATGTCAAATGAGTGTATTGCACCTTTGTGATGATGTAAGAGTGTTTTCCGTGTCTTTCAGTGGTTAAATATATGCCAGCGTAAACTAAAGGTGTACTATGGGTAAAAATTATTACCAGATTGATTCTCCACCTTTAGTAACACTTCAGTTAATTTAATTCGTGTAAAGAGTTGGAGTTAAAGTGGGTCATCTTACCGCTAAGTATTTTCACCTCTGAATAATTAATATAAGTTTCATAGTTTACAGCACTTTGTAAATATACTATTGGATGAACGCCTCCCATACATGTTGGTCATGGGCAGGGGTTAGCAACTTTCAGCTCCGGAGCAGCATGCGTCCATTTAAGAACTGCTTTCTGACATTATTTATTAAGAACCATCGTCTAATATTCACATGCATTGCGGTTCTTAAAATATTGAGGTTTTTTTGTTTGTTACAAAATAAAACAAAAATGTCTCTCCTTGTTCATATGGGTGGCCGACCGCCCCCTTGTTATGGGGGTTGTTTGATCATGCTTCACCAAGCTGGTCAGTGTGGTTTGGTTAAGGGGGCCCGTGACCCATTCAAATATCATTCGCCACTGATGTTAGCCATAGCTAGAAATAGAAGTCAGGTCTCTAATCATTGTACTTCTGTTCGTCTCTTTATTATTGCATTACTATTTGATTCAATTGTTGTACTCTACTTCTATGTATTACTTTGGGTTAGGCTTTCACAACTGAAACAGGATGTCACCACAACTCTGGGTGTCCGTCTGATGATGCCAGTTAAGTACACATTTTGCTTGCTTTATTTTTGTTGTATCAGTATAAGCGTTGTGCTCTTTAATTAGATGTAAAGCTGATATTAAGTGTGATTTGTTCTTCAACGGAGGGAGCCCTACCTTATCGGGGCAAAGATGCTTGATTGCGTTGAATACCTGAGTTGCTATCCTGGTTCGAGGAACCCTTGCCAGTCAGATACTCAGTGAGAGATGAAACAAAATGTGCTCCCTTCACCAACCGGCACTGACCGGCGTAGTGTGAGCACCCCCCACCCCGAACCATTGCTGATAATGATGACATGTCAGGTTCTACCCGAGGGACTTGTTGCGCTGTGGGTGAGAGAATGATCTTTGCAAAAGTATACGTTATCTTATATTTTCTAGCTCCTTTATAAAAGCTGCTTTACAAGGGTTATGAGTGGTACAATGAGGGTAGCTAAAAGTGATATCGTGAATCGGAATGGGGTATGGGGAGGGAGGTTAGTGGGTTCTGGAATTACGGGGTTACCTTGGGATGTAGGGAAGGATGGGCCAGGGAGAAGAGGTGGGTGTTGAGGAAGGAGCAGAAACTAGACAGGGAGGAGGGTGCTTCTCGCTTTATGTAGAGGGGAAGTGTGTTCCAGTGCAAGGGGGCAAGTAGGGAAAAGGAGTGGAAATGGGATTGTGTACAAGGAGAGGGGGGAACGGTTAGTAGTAGGAAAGATTACGAGTGGAGCGGGCGGGAGTGGACATGAAACGATACAATCCTGGTGTACCGGTAATGCTGCATATTTTGTTACAATTAGAACCATGGACAGCTCATGATGGTACATGTAGATTGTTCCACATTGGCTTTATTGACTTTCTGGAAAATCACTTCATTAAGCTTCATGTATGTTTATAAGGAGGCTTGAATGTACTTGTTTCATTGAACTATTTAAACAGCAGTTATATTATGCTAAGCACACACACATAAGGATTAGTATTTGTTACTGCATGGTCACATACAAGGTATGTGCATGCAGATGTTTTCTAGTTCACCTAGACCAGTATACCTCTGCTCATGTTTACACTTAACAGTTTTTACTTTTTCTCCTCTTTTAATGTGGCGTGCCTCAAATTGTGCACTTTTTATGCAAATTATACATCCGGGCCAGGGAGTCAGGTGATGTCAGGGGCAATATTGCTGAGTATATTTTGCTTGTGTCAATGCAGTTAAGTATAATTAGTTTTGGCCTGTGCTTTATTTACCTTGATTTGCTTTTACTTATTTTGGTGACCCAGGTCACGCTTGCAAATTAGACCATCATGGTCTTGTTACTTTTGACAATAATATAAAAATAAGATAGGAGTGCAAAGCATAGGAAAGGTAAACAAATAAAACTAAACTCATTTTTTTATCTTAGCAGTTAATGCCCACTGAGGTATTCGCTTCTTTTTCAGAAGCCACCTGGCCAGGACTTGGTACCGTGAGTTACATTCTGTACTGTTCCCAAGCAACGTCGTACTGTAATGCATCGCATTAACTTAAACTTTAAATTTGACCAGAGATTTAGTCGGCGATGTAATGTATATTCTTAAAGCTCACAATGTGTTATTTGAGCTCTATGTAAGAATACATTGTTTAGTGTTTTATATATTATGGATTCATATGACCCCTATAGCCACTTTTTATTCTTTAACATTTTACATGGAAAGCCTCACTAAGGCCAAACGATCGATGTTTAACCAATACCAGTGACATCATAACTAGTGGCCTGTACATTAATCAAACATGGAAATAATTGTCTTGAATCTAATTCTGATCTTAAATCACAACCATTAATCGAATCACCAGGGAGAGTGAATCAGTACAGCCTTAGTGTTTGCTATAATATGGTTGTAAACAGCCTTCAGGTTTGATTTGTAATAAGAAAAAGATTTAGATGAATTAGGAAATCCAGTTGGCCATGTATATTTTCTAAACACTTCGTGATTTCAGAGGGCGGTGGTGTTTTTATGCTCAAGGTATAATTACTGTCATAGTCGTATTTTGATTTGGAAGAGGCTGTACCATGGTGACAGCACATGATGGAATGTATTGTCTTTTGATGACATCTATGAAGGGTAAACACTCACAGTGGAGTCGATACACTTTGGACACGTTTTTTTTTACATTTCACCTCTTCAGGGCCATATGGTCAAGCTCTGCCTAAAATATTGCTCTATCAGTATTGAGACTTGGCCGATTAGGCATCAGTCCCAATAATAGTCAAGGGTGAGACATTGTTCTGCAGAGATGGTTGGATTTGGCTGTAAAACAGATAAAAAAAAAACTAAATAAACTGAACAGGTCATTCATGTCAATGGATCAATCTTGTTGTCAATAACTTCTGTTGTGGTTAGGTTATGTCTTCGAAGGTCATGTAAGTGGACTTTTTTTGGAATCCCAATTAGCCATTACTTTTCCTGAAAGCAGTGTTTTATATATACTGACAGTTGGTAGTTATCAAGGAAACAATTTTTTTACTGCCTGTTTTTGGCAACAAAGGTCTCACATAATATTAATTTTAATGTTACTTATGAAGTCACCTAGTTCTTTGTACAGTAAACCATTTGACTTGCTGTTGGCCACACAGTTTTAGCTTCACATTGAGAATTAAGATTCCCAACATCAGTGGCAAATTATATCTGAACTAGTTTTGCACCCACCATTTTCCCTCCATCAAGCCACAGTTACCAGCGTGGTGAAGAAGTCAAACAACTCCCACCATCAACACATCATGGGGAGGCCTTGATCCTGCAGTAGATTTATAAATGGCTGTAAATTATGATTCACAACATATTGCGCAGTTGCTATATTCCTCGCTATCGGCACCGCATGATCATTTCCGCACTCGCTTTCCCCCAGAGGAGTTTGTGGCGCATGGGAGCGACGTTTCGTGTCTGGCTCTCGGCCGCAACTCTGGCCGCGTCATGACGACGGGCGGTGAGGACCACAAGGTGAACCTGTGGGCCGTCGGCAAGCCCAACTGCATTATGGTACGTGGCCTGCAGACGTTACGATCTTGCTCTGTATTTGTCAACTGTGTCGGTGTTGTAGCAGCGAACATGTGTGTATGTACGTTGAACTTCTTTAGCACCGTACATAGCAGACTGCGTTAATCGGAGGTGTGGGGACGGGCACCAAACTAAACAGACAAAAAAACATGCAGAGTATGTTAACATCTGTGATGGGACACGTGTCAAAACCAATACATTATGCCAATATTTCCCTGCAGTGATATCAGTTCAATTGTTTTTTTTAAGCCACCGCATCAGGCAATGTTTATACTGCACCTTTTATAGAAATGCCTTCCAATGTGTCATGTAGTGAATAGAGATTAAATTATGTTATTGTGTATTACACTAGCAAAAAGACAAACTAAATTCTGAGCAATGCAGTATAAACATGAGAAAGAGACATCATTATCCAAAGAAAGCTGCTAAAAAGTAAATATATATAGCACAAGGCAGGCACAGAGATGGCACAATATAATTATAAACTCTAGGTATACATTTTAAAATGCAGTCACAAGTGTTGGCCGATTGTGTCATATGTTTTGCGTGGTATTGAATGATCCATGGTGTTAAATTGCTTATGCGCTTAGGTACCAACTTGGTGAACAGATTGAGGTCATATTTTTGTGTCGCTGCCTACGGAAGTAATGAAAACAACACGCTTCGTTTTACCGTGTGGTGTTGGTCACGTCAAAGTGGCATGCGCACCTCGTCCAGTGCAGTGTCAGTCGTGCACGTTAAATGTGGTGCTGCGTTGCAGTGCTTTTTGTTGCAGTGTGACGTAACGGTGAATAATAAATGGTAGAAGTCTTGTTTTACAAATACCGACGCAACGAATTGTTCACCATCATGACAGGATTTGCTCCGGTCAAACACGGTTTGTGTGACGATTTCTCTAAATCCAAATTCACAGTGACAGGCTAATCAATGTATGACTGCTGCATCATGGAGGTGTTGCCTACGGGGGTGGTTCTGGCTTGTCAGTTGCCTCGCTCCAAATGTAACCCGTGACAGATTCGGCAGCGTTTTTACATGCCTTGCATACCCAAATTTGAGTTGTCCATAGCAAAATTAGATAATAATATTGATGCAAGTGTTCTATGGGTATCAGTAAATATTGCTAATAATTTCAAAGCAAGGCTTTATAATATTATTCTCATTTACTTGTAGGAACACCTTATGTTTAGGTATGACAGTGTACTTGACACATCATTTATATTCTGCTGTCCACTCGATGTGTCTCTCTTTTCATTGACAGGGAACTCGCTGCCAAAGCGTACATATATACAATTATTTATTCCATATCATTCGGGCTTTCTGTTCATCTTAAGGGGTCAATTCAGTGTCCACATAGTGCAAAGTATATGAGTCGGCCCAGGATTATTCAGCATACCAAGTCAGGTGTGGCCAACGTGCACTGCTTGTAAATATGCCATTCGTTCAGTCAATTGTATTGACACTCCCCGATGTCTGCTGGCTAGAAAAGGGGTTGATTCATTTTGGTCCACATTGTGGATTTTAAATTGAGCGATTATTTTTCCCCATGCCTGCAAATGTCACTTCTGGTAAACGCCAAGATGTCGGAGTAGCTCAACGACTGAGCAGGCTAACCACACTTTTAAAGCCTACCCAATTGTTGTTAAGCTGAAAGCCATATTGCAGCGCGAATAAGAATACATAAAGGAGTGCGAAAGAAGTTCAACATTCGTACAGTTCAACATTTGTACATACAGACTCTGACTTTTGAATGCAAGGGCTGTGGCAATTACGTTGTGTAATTGTGGTAGCGATGCTGAGGACACAATCCTTGTGTTGACAGCTAGACATTGTCAAATATTGAATAAATGTACTGCGTGCATTTTTGTTTATTTTATTGTGTTCCAGTGTTTTAACATCACATGCTCCCTGTCCCATGTGTTTGCGTGTGTATGAATGTCTTTCGGTTTCACTTTGTATCGTTTTAACGTATTATTATCAACTTGTGTGTCCTAAAATGTAGAAGTGGTTTTTATCGTCCTCCTGTGGTTGCTAGCGGCATTTGCTCCACCTTGCTTAATGATTAATGACCATGTGTGCAAGGGAGTGTACGTGTGTGCAGATTAACTGGCAGTGTTTCAACACAAGAGTTTTGTTTTTCCAACATTAAATGTCATGCATTAGGAGATGCAAAATCACAAACCCATTAGTTACCACTGTGACTGCAGCTGTCTTGCTTGAATGTTAAAAGCCTTCCTATGCTTTCTGTTTCCGTGATCTGGATCGTCAGTGCCTATATTTGCATACGGTTTGCCTATGTTTTCAGGTGAATGCATGCATGCATTTAAACCTATTGTTTACAGACAGTATATGTGTGTGTTTATGCTCAGTGTGGCCGGTGCAGTGTTTGACATACTATTCTTACTCCTGGTAACCCGGATTCAGTTGTTGGCCAAGCATGTTACGGATGGAAATTGATATTTAATCCTCTTCTGGGCCTCCTTAGTCCTTCTCATATGTCGACTTTGCCCAAAATTAATACCTAGTATGATGCAAGAACATCAGCAGGAGGGAGACAAGAGTGTTCAGGCATGAATTTTGACCTCACCACCACCGTGTTCCATGCCCACCTTAACCACTTGTTTTGACTACATTGGGTATTTTTCTCAGCGTCTTTTCTCATTATTTCATGTATTCGTTCGGTTACCGAACAAATACGTTATAAGGTCGCACCCATTACACACGAAGTGCTTGCCACACATGAACCACAATACATTGCTGATCTCAAGGAGCATACACCATCACGCAAATTATAGTCATCCTCACAGTGGCTTTTGGCTAGCCACCGAACAAAGATGGTCACTGCATCACGCGGTTTCAGATGCGCTTTTGTAGCCGTCTGGAACGCTCTTCCTTGCAATATTAGGAAGCCACTGGAGCTATGCACTCAGTGAGGCTGACACATGAACACGTTGTAAAGAGGTCTCAACTGGTTGCCCCTTCAATTCTGCATCTATGCACTTTTGAATCATCTACATTGAAAACTCATTTCTTTAAAACTGCTTTTTGTGTTTAATTTGTTGTCCTTCCCCCGCACCTCCGATGAGCACGGTTGGCTACGTACGGTGCGAAAGAAGTTCAACATACATACATACATTCACCCGTACATCTTCCCCACCGAATATGCATTTGCCGCCTGCACGCTGTGTTTCTAACAGAGCCTGTCAGGGCACACGTCCCCGGTGGAGTGCGTGCGGTTTAAGGACACGGAGGAGCTGGTGCTCGCCGGGTCGCGGTCAGGCGCTCTCAAAATCTGGGACCTCGAGGCTGCCAAGAGTAAGTGTCCACCTTCCTTGTGCTGGGCCAACACAATTAATTCGTCGACGTCTCTTCTTAGGCGTGCAAACGAAGGTGTCGTCCAATGGACTGGCATTCAGTTTATCTTTCTGTTAGTAGCAGTGGAATTGAAGAACAAATTTACCGAGCCAAGAAAAGATGTAATTGTTTTGACTGAATTTCTCTATTGTTGCAAGCCATAATATTCGCCAGAAGGCAGCCAGACCAAAACATCTACATATTTCTTCCAAGTTACTTAGCAAAAAAAATCCTGTTAATATTTAAATTAATGTCTTATTTAATGTATAATTTCACAGAAGCAAACATTTTCTACTTTATAGTTTTATATTTTTTATTCATGAAAGGCTCGTTGAGTTAGTTTTTTTTATTTTAAAAAGGTCCTAACTTCGTCAGAGTTGGGAAGTTATTTTGAGTATTGTTGCATGTGAGCGGAAGCCAGAGTATCAGGAGATAGTTCATACTTACAAGGAGCTAGTCTGTCTTATTTTATAGTCTTAGGTAATAACATTTTCACAATATTTAAAAGCAAGGTATAATTGTTTGTAAAATCAGTGGCCATATTTTAAACGTGTAAAACAAAAAGCTGTTTTTGAACTAAATATAGCCTCAAACCAGTGCTGTGAGGCTGTGAATCCAAGTAATATATTTGTGTGCACTGAGCTTTAATGCAGAAAATTCAACTGTCAAGCCAGGCATTCGATCATACATGGCCTCAGCACCTGCCTTAGCCACACGGGCGAGGGGGGGGGTACCCTCGTGTTGATAACGCCTTGCTTTGTTCCCCGTGCGTGCCGCGTGGTTGCCCTCCGCAGTTGTGCGGACGCTGACGGGACACAAGTCGAGTGTACGGAGTCTCGACTTTCACCCATATGGGGAGTACGTCGCCTCCGGCTCACTGGACACCAATGTCAAGGTGTGATGCCTCTGTCCGCTTGTGTGAAGCTGAGCGATGGGTTATTTTTTTTTATAATGTCGATTTGTCGTATGAGCTGCAGTGTGTTACCAGGCTGGTGTAGAGAGTCTTAATCCATAACTCATACAGCCTTCCCAGTGAGATACCACCACACTGAGTCCTCAGCCTAATGTGTTAAAACAAATCAGATTAATTAATTAGCTATTAAGATCAATTGTCTTTTTTCACGATGGAAGTCTGCATAAGCATATTTGTGTAGGATCATATTTATTATCCAGTATGTTGACAGGATATATCATTTTAAAAATAAACCAATGGCCATAAATATTGGTTTGCTTCTCATGAATGACTTGAACATTGAGCGATCTGCTTCATCCATCATTGTCATTGACAACATGGTAAATTAATGGACTGCACCTGGTAAAAAAAAAGCCTTCTACCCCTTCCAACTCACCTGGCTGCAGTGCCTGCTGTCTGTGGTATCCTGTGCACTTGTATTCTGTATGCACTTGGCTTCAGAGTTCATATTCCTACTGTTGCTGTCATTTATGCTATTGGTAATGTGTTGCGGCCTCTGGCAGTCACTGCACTTCGAGAGGGAATAGCCTGTGTCGGAGGTACAGGCAGTGGTCTTTTTGTCACCGATCTGGCATTTGAGCTGAATTTGAACCGAATATTCTGCCAGTCGCGTATAGCTGTCACGGCAATGAATGTTGCATGACTGGTTTTAAATTGCGACGTTAACAATAAAAATTTATGTTTTTCACAGCTCTGGGACATCAGGCGCAAGGGATGCATATTCACCTACAAGGTAAGATTGAACAGTTTAGCTCTCTTTTTTTGTCGAAATGCGGAGCATGTCCTGCCAGTCATCTTTAGCTGACTTTCGTCAATGCAGCGCTAGGGTAATGTATCAGTTAAGATTAAACCCAGAGGCTCTCAAAGGGGTGAGCATCATAATGCATTGGTATATTTCCGTGACTAAAAAAAGAACCCTACTGTCATGAATAAGAGGAGATTATAATTGATGTGGGATTCATGTATTTGAGGACTTTTTATGTTTAAAATAATGAATTATAAGTAAATACGTAACGAACTTTCCACCTTTTGGGAAAATCTTGTGAAAGCTATATCCATTACATGTCTTACTTTCTGATCACTGTAATTTTCACATTGGTTGGCCTATCTGAAAAGCAGCGGTGTTTGACTACACAGAAAAAAAGCATTTTTGCATTTTGTACAAGATTCAAGCGGTAACGGTGCATTTCCCACATCAAATCATTATCAAAGTCACAAAAAACGTGACTTGAAGTCAGGATTAGGAACAGCGTGTGCCAAATCACCTGTGGATGCACTGCATCAGAGGAGGTTGGCTTATACGGCTGCCAACTTAGCAGTAGACCATGACCCACATCAAATAATCAGTGGGGGGTTTAAAATCCTTGCATCACCGCGACACACAATGGGTAACTCCAAAGGAAATGTCCCGCACCCATATTGTGGCCCCAACAGAGTCACTGTGTCCTCTGCCATTGCTACCAGCACAGAGTTTTAAGTTCATATCACATGGCTGAGTGTCGTCATTCTTCTTATGATTATTATTTGTTTTCTAAACCCCAAAGGTGTACCCTTGGAGAATCATGGTGGACCCTGACATGCAGAAGTGGTAGTGTCAAATGCTCCATCATGGTCATTTAGCTTTTATAATTGAAATAAAGCAACATTTTTTTCGCCACCATGATTTTTTTTCTTACATTAAGGTCACTGCTGAGATATCACAGTGCTCTTCACATTAGGCTGCAGTTGTGTAAGTGAAATAGGCAGAGTGTGGGGGGGGGGGGTAATGGAGCATAAAGAATATTTTCTGAGTTTAAGGCAGTGCACTTAGTTAATTAATTTAAGATTTTAATCCGAGGTTTTCTTGTGCAATATTTCTAGAAAACTGATGCTCACTCGTGGCTCCGTAGTCCAGAAGGTGGCAGCAGTGCCCTCTGTACGAGCTTAACTGTCTCGTTGACATTGCCTCGTCTTCTCTCTCCCCCCTCCCTGGCCGCCATGCCACAGGGCCACACAGACTGTGTCAACTGCTTGCGGTTCAGCCCTGATGGGCGCTGGATCGCATCTGCTGGCGAGGATGGGACAGCCAAGGTACCAGCAGCTCGCACAGTCGCTGGAATCAAGAGTGCCAATGCCTATTAGTCTTGCTCCCTCTTTTCAGTTTGAATTCTACTGTTTAAGAATGTCCTGCTTTGGTGTGTAGTGTAAGTATGATGCATGCAGTTATTTGTGTATTTTCTAGAAGTGGGTGGACTGCTACAAACCTGGTGACATGGTCACAGCTCATGTTATTGTCAGCTCAGCCTCAAATCGGTTGCTAGTGCCATGTGTAAACATCATCACTGGGGAGACAAATGTGATCAGGTGTGGTGCTCGCCATACCACCACCCCCTTGTGTGCCATTCAGGCTTGGTGATTCCATCAGAACTTGGCCCAAAGTCTGTGAAAGGCTATATGAGGATCAATTTTTTAATGTTCAGAAATGATGGCTTGATAATTGGCGTACTACTCAATGGCCCACACGACCTAGGTTCGATACCTGGCCACACTACCATCGGTCTGGTCTTCCCTTGGATTGACTTAGTCAGGAAAGGGTACCTGGTATAATGAGGCAACATGAGTACTAGCGAGACGAGAGATGGTGTAACCATTGCTTCATATCATTTGCTCGACTGGACTTCAACATCCTTGTCCTCAATAGAGCAATATGATAAATGTATTATGCAATGACCTACACTTAATATTCACATTATTACTTGGGTTAATGTGACGTTTAAATTGTGCCCATTTATGAATGCAATATTGTCATATACATAATTATTACTTAATCCTGAGCAGTACTAATTATAGGTGGCCCAATAGGCCAAGGTCAATGCCATAAATACATTTATGACTTTCTCTACAGATGAACATCGCTTACCCGAACACGACTGCGATATACGCAGTAGGATTCATGACATTTCCTTTTAAGTTTTAATTAGTCTCGGTTCTTTTTTTATAATTGAAATTCGACTGGTAAAAACTGGTGGATGGTTAAATTGTACTTATGGCTGCCACACGCATTAGCCATGCCGTCAGGTGGATTTTAAAAGGAAGGGGAAAAAATATATACATTCCTCGCAAATTGCAACTGTAAAATATGTATTTAATACACAGTCCTAGACACTTCATTATTGCGAAGGTCACGAATTTTTTGCAACGAAATTGGTTTTTCAATTGTGCACCCAAGTGCGCATTGAGGAGTTTACCTCCCATTTCAGTCCCACGTGTATTTACTGCACCCCCCCCCCCCTCATCCTTCTATTGTGGAGGTATGATCCCAACCATGAATAGTTAATGTGCCATGGGGGCACATCTGCATTTGTGCTATAAATGTTGCAAGCTTTGAAAAGCAACTCGGAGCGAGGAAAGCGTGCGTGTATGAAAATTTAATGATACTGGGTCTCCTCGGATCTGACTTTACATACTGTACGTGAAAATGACCCTTGTGGATAGGAGACGTAACATAAAGCATAACACTCGGCAGCACACGGCAATATTTATGGATTTTTTTTTTAATCGTAATGTAAGGGTGTTTTTATTTCACCTAAATAATGGGTTTATTGGAAGTGATAGATATGCTTGGGAAGGATTCATTTTTCACCCTTTTTGATCTCCCAGCATTTACAGTAATAGTTCTCTGGGGAATCATGATTTAATAATAATGATGGCTATTTTGAACCTACAGCAGCCTCGCTGAATCACAAGACTTTCAGGAGGTTACTACATTGGGATGTTTGGTTAATACCAGGAATGAGTGTTTGGCTTGTGGGAGGAAAAGAGTGTAACAAGATAAAACCGATGCCGTTAATACATGGCAACGTTGGAGGTTACCCATACAAGTCCGAACCAGGCTCGACCCTGCTTAGTTTCTGAGGTCCTATGATCAGCTACTTTTAATACGAGTTGGTGTTATATTCAAAATTAATTCACTTACATATTCTACAGAGTATACTGTGGCCCTAAACAGTCCTTGAAAATGTACAAGCATAATGATTTGTTTTACTTTATTGCTGCACGCTGATGTAGGGAGTTCCCATGCAATCAGAACAAGCAACATCAAGTAATGCATTGCTCCATCATCATCATCGGAGCAACTGATAATTGTAAACCTAAGCAAGATAGCCATTTATTTAAATTGGGAATGTGGGGTTGACAAAATAACATGTAATAATAGGGTTTTTCCCCTTTTTTCTGGCAACAAAACAGAAACCTTTTTACAAGGATTCATGTCTGCATTAACCACAATACCTGCAGTCAAAATGCAAACAAAAAAGAACCTATGATAATATATGCATTGTCCTTGAAACTGATTGGTCCACACCAAGGGACGGCTTTCTTTTGAGCCTCGACCCAGTTGGTGCTTTGGCGTCATCTGGTCGAGCACCAATTGGGTTGTTAGTATGACATTTCACAACTGGATTTTTTTGTGTGTGCTATCATTGATGAGTATTCTGGCACCATACAACACACCACACTTGACAACCTGGTTTCACTTCATATGGACTCAAACCCAAAGACCTTGGTGCTGCTGGATCACATACTGGAACGTGGGCAGTATAATTAGTATTATCCCCACGAGCCACTCGGTCACCTCCATTTGGTGCACAGTATTGATTGGTATGCTGAATGAATGATTGAACGTGGCGATGATGTCTAGGTGTGTGTCTGTGTGTGCATGTGTGGGGAATGGTAGTGTCATGCACCGCGCTACGAACCCGGGAACCCGAGTTCAATTCCCGCTCATGGCCAACACAGGTAACGCATATCTGAATCGGTCCTGGGCCTCCCCTGGGTCGACTCAGCCTCAAATGAGTACCTGGTGCGGGAGTGTGACAATCGCCACTGGGGAGACAAAGGCGGCCAGGCGTGGTGCTGACCACCCACGCCTTCGTGTGCCATGCTATAAGGGAGATTTTTGTATTTGGTGTTACAGCTTTGGGACCTCACTGCTGGCAAGCTGCTATACGAGTTTACAGATCACATGGCTGCTGTCAGCTCACTGGAGTTCCACCCCAACGAGTTCTTGCTTGTCACAGGCAGCGCCGACAGGTGGGGCCTCTACCGCACGCAGAGCTGCTCTGCTCGGCAACTCTTCCCTCATTTCTAGTTTTGTTTTTCTCTCCTAATATTTGGCAGCGTATTGTCGTAACGGAATGTTTATGAACGCAGTGACAGGATGTGAAAAAATGCGCAACTTTTAGTGATGCTGATTCAATAGGACGTGTGAATGGTGGAGTGCTGGGGCTATATTGGCAAAAGCGGGGTTTCATTTTGTAAATTTGCTGTCCTCATCTATCTTCATGTAATAGACCAAAGACGATATAACAGTTGCCTTTAAGCTCAGTTATTTTTTTGCGTTTTTTTAAATACATGAATATTTTACGATCAATGTGATTAATAGAAATACTATCTTTCGATAAAGCTTTCGTGACTGCAATGATTCATCTTCTTTGGTTCTTTGGGTAAAGTCACGTAGAATGAGAATAAAATAATAAATTGATAAAATAAAATAACACAATAATATTCTCACGACGTTTCGGCCACAACACAAGCGGCCTTCATCAGACTGTCTGGTAGGACAGCGCTGTCCTACCAGACAGTCTCGTCCCGTCACCTGATGAAGGTCGCTTGTGTTGTGGCCGAAACGTCGTGAGAATATTGTGTTATTTTATTTTATCAATTTATTATTTTATTCTCATTCTACGTGACTTTACCGAAAGAACCAAAGAAGATAAATACTATCGGCCATTGTTTATACGTAAAACATTTTATTGCTACCTTCTGTTGCTGTTGTACCATTCAATCGTGCCAATTTGTTTACGTGCTGTGTTTAGTCTTTGTATAGTATTATCTATTGTCTAAAATAATTTGTTGAATTTGCTGTAGAATAAAGCGGCTGAATTTGTTGTGTTTGCCAGGACGGTGCGGTTCTGGGACCTTGAGAAATTTCAATTGGTTAGCGCCTCGGAAGGGGAAGCTTGCGGTGTCAGGTACCCGCACCGTTAACATCCACCCATAACATACAGGCACACACTAACACTGTCAGAAAATAACACCCAAGTCATCCATACAGTGAGCATCAGTGCAGAGGACACTGGCACAAAGAATGTGCCCACACCTCAGCCATCCCTACCCTGGGATCACCTGGAATGAGGAATACGACTTTCCTCTTTCTGTGCATGCACATTGCACTTTGAAATGTGAGCTAACACCCGCTCTCCAGTCAGTGAAATTCCCCATCAACTAGAAATATACGTGTCACTGGCAAATGAAAATAAAATGCCATGACTAGCTCTTCCCCTTGCACAGCCATTACAGAGAACCCACAACAGTGTATGATCTTAATAATAATAACTTAGGTTAAGCCTGGAGCCCAGTTACGCTGAGTAGGGCGCAATCGGTCGATCTTAGAGATCTAAGTGGAGTGTGTAGCTGTATCAACTCCTGGATGTATAGTGGCGAGAAGCCCATTCAAAGCCTCGAACACAAGTAGGAGAATCTAAAACTCCAATGCAGGTTTGAACTGGAAGCTACTTTTAAGTGGGGGCATAATTTTGCATAGCAGTTTAATCTAACTACAAGCCTAAACAGGTCAAAAGTTAGTATTCCTAATAAGGGTAGATTGCATATGTATTCTATTGTATATTTACTGATGGCTAAAAGCAGTGGATAGACACCCATCAGCATCCGGCACGAGCCAGCAGTACCACAATCTGTCTCACTTACATTGACCAATCTCACCACCCTGTATGCATAGTGGTTATGTGTTGTGTCTTCTGTCCTTTTGCAGCCATTCTATCGATAGTCATCAAACAACTATAATCCTTTTCGTTATGTGTCCTGCCAAATCCCACTTACATGTTTTAATGGTCACATTGCATTCTTGCCACGGTGTTTCACAATGTCGCACTTTCATAGGGGCCTGTGAAAATGAGTGTTGTTTAACGATCTTTGGCTACATAAATGGGTGGTTCCCTGTGTCTTCGCGTGTGCGCTCCGATCACCTCTGCGACCTAGGTGCGTGCTGTTTAACCCGGACGGCTCGTGCCTATTCAGCGGCTCCCAAGACATGATGCGTGTCATGGGATGGGAGCCGTTCCGCTGCTTCGACTCGCTGCACGTGGGCTGGGGCAAGCTGGCTGACCTTTCCATCCTCTCCAACCAACTGGTGCGAGCTTCCAACCAGTTCCTGCCTTGATGTCCGATTGTACCCGTGCCTGTCTCTTTATATATTAATACCTTTATATGTGTGTGCCTAATGAAACGTCTGCCATCATGCCTACCTCTTGACAGATGTTCCATTGTATCATTGTTCACTATCATGTATATCGTTGCCGCTGTTTTTTGCAGCTGTCTCTCACCTCTTTCATATTTTTGTTTGTTTCTCTCCTCGAGCATGCCTCCCTTTCGCTGCCGATTTCTCAAGTAATTTTCTAATATGTTGGCGGGACCCCCCCCCCATGCGTTGCTGTTCCCGCTGCGTGCAGATCGGCGCCTCGTTTCAAAAATCGACGGTGTCCGTGTACATTGTGGACCTGGCGCAGGTGAACAAAAGTGGCCTGGGCCTGCTTGCGGCGGACAGGCCAGCTGCCCCTCTCTCGCCCAACGCCACGCCGTCGAGAGCGAATTACGTGCGCCCGCACACCAGCAGCTCCAAGCAGGCCAAGTATGTGGCCAGCGAGCAGGCAGCACTCAGACCTGTCTCCTCAATCACGCGTGCAACATCTGCCGTCAGAGCCGTCTCACGGTAGTTTGGCCCATGGGAGGTAGCTTTTAGCCCTGGCACGTTGAGTCGTCATAATATTTCATTCGCAAATCTCCGATCAGGCAATGCACGTGTATCACACATTCAGAAACAATGTTCTGGAAATCAATATTAAACCCAAGTGGTTTGTTTAATGCTTGAAACAGGTTTTAAAGATGGTTGCATTGTTTAATGTATGGTGGAGATAAAGTATGGATGCCTGATGTGAGTAATGCCAAGTCCATGTACATAGATTTCTTTACAATGTTCATTAAAACATACAAATTAATCTTCTTTGGTTATTTCGGTAAAGTCACGTAGAATGAGAATAAAATAATAAATTGATAAAATAAAATAACACAATAATATTCTCACGACGTTTCGGCCACAACACAAGCGGCCTTCATCAGGTGAAGGGACGAGACTGTCTGGTAGGACAGCGCTGGAGTGAAAGAGCCACGTTCAGATCACGACCTTTAAGCTGTGTGAGAGGAAACAAAGTGCCTTGACAAAGGAATTAGCATATAATTTAGCATTGAAATGGCAGAGTGATTAGCTTGTGACTGGTCACAGAAATAGCTATGTTAAAAGTTAAAGGATACACATCCGCAGAGGCACCCCTTGACAAAGGAATTAGCATATAATTTAGCATTGAAATAGCTAAGTTAAAGCATACACATCCGCAGAGGCACCCTTTGACAAAGGAATTAGCATACAATTTAGCATTGAAATAGCTGAGTGATTAGCTTGTAACTGGTCACAGAAATAGCTACGTTAAAGTCAGAGCATACACATTCACCGAGGCACAAATTAAGTTTTATGCTTCGGTATTTCACGGTTGATACATAAATAGGTGTTTGCGTTAGGTTGTGTAATCTGATGATGCTGGGTGTAATCTCCAGAGAAATGTTGTTACTCATTTAAAATTTGTGAGATTACTCTCCCAACATCACCGGTGTACTGAAGCAGTAATAAATCTGGCACGTTTGTTCACGTGACACCTTTATTACTTAAAATTTGTATAAAAGAAGTTCCTTTCACGGTTTTGCACCACAGTAAACTTGGGAGGTTTGAGCGTGACATTCAAGTGACATGAAGGATGGATTCTTATGTTCATGGATTCTTGCGTTCTTATATGTGAAATATATATAGAGCAAGCTTCTGTACGGCGGTAGATAATGTTTAATCACTTGCACGCTTTTGAATGAGCTTCCAGTTGCACTGCAAGTGCTCAACAAAAATTATATGCATATTGTTGTCTACTTTGCATTTCACTGCTCACAATAAATAAACACATTCCTTTTCCAGGATTCACAGAAATACTATAATAAATATAACGGAATTATAAATATTACAAAACGCAAACACGCAAGTGTGCTGGCTTTTTTGAATTACCACAGTATAAAATCATTAATCCATGGGCAATTATTAGTTTTCTCTTTGGGACACACTACAAACAAATATGGATATGGGTAATGAATTGATGCACCAAAAGATTTGTTTTTTTTTTAGCGTGCATGTCTGTGTGTAAGTTAGGGGCATTTCACTACGAATCTGATGGCCTGAGTTTCATTCCCGCTCACGACCAGTAACAGTGTCGAATGTTTGAACTGGTCCTGGGCCTCCCCTGGGTCGACTCAGCCTTAAATGAGTACCTGGTGTGGTGTGTAGACATCATAAATGTGGAATCAAACGTGGCCGGGCGTGGTGTTGGTCACCCACCCGCTCGTGTGCCATGCCGCCCATAAACGTGCTCCACAACAGCACAGTCTATAGCAGATCAACACTCTGCGTAAGGCTATGTGGGGAATGTTTGTCTTTGTGCGTATGTGTGCGTGTAAACAATGTGCAGCGAGATGAAAAGAGAACCAGAGCAGGAGGCGCGAGGAGGAAACGGGGATGAAGAGGAAGAGGAATCTTCATCAGCAGAAATTACCAACCCTGACGAGTACAAGAAGATCTTCCAGCCCAGCCCAATGTTAGGTCAGTAGCGGTATGACCCACTGGCCCTTTGGGAGTCGCACACCTTCAGCAGAAGTGGGGCCTGTGCACACTCTTAGACAATATAGATTAAGGAAGGGAAAGTTTTGTTTATTTTCTGCTAGCTTGCTTGCTCATTATTCGAATGACCGGTCGGAGGCTGGATTTCTTCACGTAATTTGTTAACGAGGAGAAAGGGCAAACTGGAAATGCTGCAATACATTTTTTTTATGTAGATTGTTTTTGTAAAGTCTGTTTACCACTGGAATTGTTTGAATGTATATGGTCGGAGTGTGCCGGTGACCGGTGTGAATAATCGGTGGTAGTGGACATTGTTAAGTAGAACACCGTTCTTTGTTGTGGCTGGGGATAATTTTAGTTTTGAATACTTTTTGGCACTGAGAGGGAGTGGAGTGAAAGTTGAAATCGGTGCCAGTTCAGACTTGTTTTTGTATAAATATGAGCTGAAGCAAAGGATAAAAGCTACCAATGTTGTGGCACTGTCATTGTATCCATATATTGATAATAATTTATTGAAGGATTCAGATATCTTTATTAAATTGTATAATAGTGACAAGATCTTTTTGCGATAGAGTTCAGTCATAAAATGTTAAGAACATGAAATTGTCATCGGGACAAAACCGTTAGAGGTAAAGTGTTTTATAATAATGATGTGTGAAACGATCTTGCGAGAAAATTTAAAGCCTAATGACCATATTTTTCAGATCGAACACCTCCCAAAAAAGCTGAACCCTTTCCTGCCCCTCCAGAGGAAGGTACTATAACAGTCCCATTTTGTGAACATACATTAGTTCACATGATGCTTTACCCAGTTTGGATGGGCTCGCTAATAGTTAATCTGCATTCCACATGAAGGTGCTGTGTACGTGTATGCTTGCAGTGACCCGCTGTCATGTTTCGGTCAGCAAGGATCGATGCTTGAGTTTAAGATATAATCTTAACTCTCTATTTGTTTATTATTTAATCACATTGGCTGTGGTGGGTGTGTTGCGTCCACTTGCAGATGGACTTCTCGGGAAGAACGTTCTAGCTGTTGTTCATAATGACCGACCACTGACCAAAGCCAGGAGACAGGTACATTTCACACACAGAGCAACCCTTTCTGAAGTAGATTTTTTTAATTTTGTAACTAACCGTCATCAACTGCCGAATGGTATAATTGGCTGTTGCAAGACAGCTTGAATAGAACGCGAGCATGTGTATGTGTGTAGATAGTTAATGCTTTCACTTCTGTCATGCTCATACACATTTGGTATTGCTCTGAAGTCGTCATTGAACATTGTTATTGATATTCCTTGATGTTGTTACGAAAGGTCCATATGACTTTCAGATCTAACTTATACCAATGTAACAACAACTGCTGCTTGTTCCAGCTGTTGCAGCCATATGTTCATCAGTTTCATGGTGATAATGTCTAATTGCAAAAGTTACCATGGTGGCATCTTCCGAGATCGTTTCTTATTTTAGGCTTCAACCATCTGCCAACTTAATGTTTCAATAAACATACAGTCTGTTCCTGTATGTTTCAATTGTGCCTTGGAATTTCCATGAACAACCTTGGCAGCAAGCATTGCATCACCCTGTGCCAAAGAACTACCCAAGAAGATAACATCACGGAACTACTTTGTAGTAAATTCAATAACTGGGAAGAAAGCGTAATCCAAAATAATAAAATAAATACATAGGCTTCTTATAATCGATTGGCAGTTCTTCCCACTTGCCCTATTATAGATGTGTTCATTGCATGCCAATAAAATATATTTTTGGAGGTTTTTCTTATGTGTGGCCAGGCATAGCAAGTCTATGAAATCATCAACTCCACTTCACTTAAAACCCAGTTTAACCACTGGCAGTTACCCAAATTTATACCCAGCATCTCAGCAGTGCCAGATTAATGTTCTGACAGGGTGTTAGCCCCACTATCTTCATTATGTTTTATGCCAGAAAGCTTCACTGGGTCTCCATACTTTATTTTTCGCATGGCCCTTCTTGGAATGTGTGGCCATTCCTTTTAGAGTAAAATTTTATTATGCAATGAATTAATTAGAATCTTGATTTTTCTGTATCACCATCAACGAAATAAAATAGGCGTATGACAAAATGTAAACGTATTAAATTGTACATTATCATGATATGCATTCCTCCAACGGACTGTAGTACACAAAATCCCTAAGAGCTTAATGTGTGTAACTAATGAGGCTATATCTTAGTGACATCGCATATAAGACGTGCATTAATTTACTTGTCATGTGGCAGCTGAGGTAAAGTGAAACTTTTCAGGGAAATAAACACGTCTCTCACCTGAGATTCTTACAGTGCTTGGGTGGATCTGTGGATGTGATACTCGGGCTCATGCCAGCTCATCTGTGACCTTGGTTAATTTTGTGGCTCCTTCCGAGAACAGACTGCTTGCTTTGCAGGATCAGTGTCACGTGTGTGTGTGTAGTTCCCATTTTGGGGGCTTTTTCTTTGTGTGTAGTTTGTCAATATAGGAACAGACTATTGCGTGCCTATGTCGAGGCAAAAATCTGCCTGGAAAACTGTGTACAATTGCTAAGTTTTCTATGCAATACAGGATCTCCTTTGGAAATGAGTTGTATGCAGCTCGTGAATCTATGTTTGTATATGTGGAAAAAGGAAATTTCACATTATAGCTCGTGCGTTTTAGCCTTGAACTTCATTTTATTTCAAATATTTTTCTAAATTATTCATAAAAAAAATTGTTTTTAATTTTTTTCTGAAATTACCACAAAATGGTATGGCATTTGCTTGTGCTTTGGCTCATTGTCTCGTTGAAATGACATTTAACTATATAATATGTCTGGTGAGCTAAGCGAGATCGCAGTGTGCTTAAGATAAGGCTTGTTATTCAGCCTCGGGTACACCGTATTATTTTTGTGGGCCAGCAGCTCAAAATCATTGACAGACCGCCGGCAATTTATCATAGCTGCCCACCAAGCCATTGGTTCTTGATTGCCGGAGACATCTTTATAAATGGAAAAATGCTGGAGCACTTGTTTAGGACTGAGCGCTAGGTTGTGAATGTCAATTATAGCTCATTTTTCATGCAGAAAAAACTAGCACGTATCCAGGTCACGTGCTGTCAAGTCTGCCACGATCACGTCAGTACAATACGTGGCTTCAAGCTCCACTTGAATCCCTTTATAGTTTGTATTTGGATCTGGTCTGCTTTTATTTCTACACTGGTTTGACTTCATCTCCATGAATACACCCCGATGATCTGTCATAAAAATGAGATCCAGGGCATGAGGTCGTATTCTCAGAAATGTATTTGTACAGCCCATTGCAAGTGATTAATTGTCAGCGGTGTGTGACGATTGGACTCGGCAATCGCACTTTAACTCATGAGGAATCTAGCACCTGTTAAGAGCATTTGTTTAGACCATATTTGCTAGAATATTGTGGTTGTCAGCAAAAGGTCCAGAGACTATTTAAGTTAGATATTTTAAAGCAAATGATTAATTTTGCTACTCAATACTAATAACCATACATTATTTGTTATCTGTTGCACTTACAAAATATTAGCACACAAACGTTATTAGACTCAAAAAGTCCACACTGATTTTTTATTACATTCAAAGAAGGGATGAAATGTAATCAAATATGTAAATTATTTATGACCTTTTCACAAGCACAAATTTAATGTTCGTAATAAAAAAATGCTTTAAATAATTAAACACATTTACTAATGTATGTGGAAGCACACTAATATACTCTTTGGTTCTTTCGGTAAAGTCACGTAGAAAGGAAATGAATTAAATAATAGAATATGACGTCTCGATTGCAACACAAGCAATCGTCATCAGGTAGAAAACAAACCTAGTAAACTTAGAAATACAATGCAAACACAGTCGGCTAACACAACAGTCAACACCCTACCTGGTTGATTACGTTCTTCCAAAGATTGCTAAATTTGAGAGAGAGACAAAACACAGACACAGAGAGAGACACACAACATAGACACACAGAAACACAAGGCCTCTATAACGAGGCCTTTCTACCTGATGACGATTGCTTGTGTTGCAATAGAAACGTCGTATTCTATTTAATTTATTTTCTTTCTACGTGACTTTACCGAAAGAACCAAAGAGTAATTCCTGCAGTCACGAAAGCTTCAAATCACAATAATATATTTTCATCAAGTCTGGCCATTAGTGAACTAAAATGAATGTGAAAATCGTGAATTTATTCAAACAAATCTTTCAAATGTAGTGTCTGAATTTAAAGCCAAGCCCAGCTCACTGTAATTGTGGGGGAACTTACAATTTATGGATTATTCATTCAATGGCACTCAGTCAGAAATGTTGAAAATAAGAGTAATATACTTGCACCTTATTCATATTCTAAGGTAAAATGACAATGCAATTAATAACGCGCACAGTATTTCACTTCAGTGACTGTGACTCTGAGACGCGGAGCCAAGCTCAGTATCATTTGAAAGCCAGGCAAAATAGGGGTGCCCTTATGTGTCTCTTGAAAGGAGCTGTAGGTTGATTGCTGCTAATTTGCAGTGGGATGCCGTTCCTTGGAGGGGGCTTCCATGGAGAAACGCCTGGCAGTGAAAGTCCTGTTCCCTGGTATGCAGAGGAGGCTGTGAGTCATGCTTCTGTGGAGAGTTCTCCAATGAGCTGTAGTGCAGGGGAACCAGAAAGCGAAGAAAGATAGTGTGGACAACCGAAAGTATAGGCGCATTGGCACAGGCAGCGGGCGATTTTGTAGCTGACCATGCTGGCAATGGGAAGCCAGTGGAGGGAGGTGCAGAAGACAGGCACCAAGGATAGATGCAAGCGTGATGGTTTTGAAACCTTCGGAATTGAGATAATTTCATGAGGATCGGTCGGAGTCAAAATAGTCAAGGCGGGACCCGACTATGCTGCGTGTGAGGACATTTGCCATTTCAGTGGTGATTAGTGGACGTAAGAGACTAAGGCCCTGAATTGCTGTTGCAAGGTCTGGATGATGTGGTTGGTGTAACTGTTGAAGGATAATTGTGGAGTCGAGAGTGACGCCGAGGAATTTGATGTCGCCGGAGAAATGGATGGTGGAGCCAGCGATTAATATTCTAGAAGGGAGCGTGGATGTGGTGAGTCGCGATCTGGCGCCGAGCAGAATGGAATTAGACTTGGAAGAATTCGAGGAGAGATCCTGGGCTCAGAACCACAGTTGTAAAGTGGCGGTGCACTCAAGAGCCTCTCGAGTGCAGAGGCATTGGTGGAATCAACAGCGGTGAAGAGTAGGCCGTCATGTGCATAGGAATGTTGTTTGACATCAAAGCCCCTAATGTGGTGGACTATAGGAAATGTCTAGGCCACGAACAGCTGGGGCTGAGGAGAGAAGCTTGAGGGACTCCGCATGAGAGCCTGATTTCCACCGATGAAGACACTCCTACACTCTGGCTGAATAATTGCTGCCTGAAAGCCAGGACGTGATCCATTGTCGGGCCGGGCCACTGATACCGAAGTGCGATTCCAGGAGGCCAATGAGGAAAGAGTGGTTAATGGTGTTGAACTAATAATAATTTGTTGTGCGACTGCTTCAGAGCTGATTAGCCAAATTGCATTGAGATGGAATCGTTTGTTTAGAGTGACATACAAAGCTAATGTCAACTTAACCTTTCAAAGTCCTTTAAATAATTCAAAACCATTCAGAAAACTTGCATCATACTTGTCAGATTTGGGGAAAATATATAGTTGAAACAAGAGAACTTGAAACCAGGTCAACATTTTTTGGAAATGCCATACAATTAAGTAACTTAAAGCAATAAATGTAATAATTTTTAAATAGATGTTTTATCATAAACAACCAACAGGTACGGTGCATTTTCTAATGAGCACCAATAGCATCTAATACGTTTTTAACAATTTAAATTCCAAGGGTTTGGTTAAATGCATATCAATCTAATAGGGCATTTGTACCTGCCCATCAGTGATGCATTTAGTCCGGGTTAGTGTCACTCACCCCTCATAGTAAACAGTGCTGAGACGACGCACTGCAATATAAATTGCTGTATTTGAGACGATAAAAGTAACAACAATTTGGTTTATTTTTGTAGATTAGCACAATTTGATAATTAAAAAAGGCTTACTTATTCTGTATTCTAAAAATGTGTATACATATATAATGTTATGGACAATAATAGGAGTGTTTAATCCACCTTAACTGTTCCCGACACTGTTCGGGCCAGTGAAATGGCACAGCTCATTACATATTTAATATCTCTATTACAAGCCCATTTATAAGGCATCTCTATATTCAGATTGTTGCCATTACATTGGCTGGTGTGAGTCGCAGAGCCTGGCACCATTTATTTTTAAAGTTCTACATTTCGTAATTGCCAAGAACCACCCCACACATTGCTAAATGTTTAAACTGAAATTGAATAACCATTTTCTTTTGCACGTGGTATAAATCAACGCGGCGAATGTGAAAATCATGCCTCTTCATTTAAATGGAAAAGCGTTTTGATTGATTTGACTCATTTTATGTGAAACCGCTTTGTAATGTTAGACAAAATTGATTATCAGAGACAGTTTGACAATTTATTGTAAACATTATTGGCACTAGACAATATACCAGTATTGTGATTCATGTTTACGTTCTAATTTTTTTGTAAATTAAATTTCAATTACAAATTCGTAGTGATCACACTGCTCTGGATAAAGGATGACAATCCATTCCTTAGTTAATCAAGCATGCTCTTTCTTGCTAATTCCACTGTGAAATTGAAAATATGGTTTTAATTAAGTCTAATACAAGTGAAAGAAGACTGGCCCTTTTATTTTGTCCACAAGTAAGGGCTTTATTTCACGGCAGGGGTCCACACCTTCTTTCTCGCTGTCTCCCGTAACACTCAGAACTCAACCTCTTCCTGGCTCCGCCCCTCGTCGCACTCCGTCTCCACCGATCATCCTCACTTACCCTTATCTAGCCTAACCGTCCCACCTGATGCTCACCCAATCCTCCAGCTCTTTTCCCTTTGGAATGTTCCAGCCAATCCTCTTTCTGCCCGTGCTCTAACCAATCTGAGCGTGGAGTGTTTGCTCCAGCCTTCTTGAGTACTCTGACCCAAGGATCGTGTGTGGTAATCGCTACACAAATGTTAGATTGGTCAAACAGGATTAAACAGTGTTTGCATTAAAGAGGGGGAAAAGTACATGAAATACTCGCTGACAAGGTGTTTCCTGAGGCAGAACATGTTTATCAGGGGGAGGGCCCCAACAGTTGACTGACAGTGTGGAAATCCATTTAGAAAGAGGAAAATAAAAAAATCGAGTTTATAAAAATGATGCAGCTTGGAATAATGAATTATTTAAGTAGTTGCTAATATATTCAATAATCGGTTATTATACCATCTCTCATTTAGTGTTAAGCTTCAGTTCACATACGACTGCTATCCTACTATAAGTTAATATATTTAGACGAGTATATTCATATGTTAATAATTGGATCTATAAAATAGAATAAATAATACATTCATTTGTAATGATTAATATCTATTTTAAATCTGATTGGTTAATCCTGTAAGGGCATGACATCTATTTCAGAAACTTGAATTTTTATTTTGGCCGCCTGAACCTTGTCCTGATAATCCTTGACGCCGTTTAAAACAAAAACACCCTGTCTCATTTGATTGTGAGAATTTGCTGTCATTATTGACTGGGCTGAGACTTTTAAAATGTACTACACTTGAAAACCCGTTTTCATCACAGGCCAGGATCTCAGCAGCGCTAACTCAGTGCTCTGACCTCCGATCCGCCGTTCCACTCAAGAGTCGTCGCCCGTTTTAACATTAAACACGTCTACACAGGTCCCATCGGTGGTGGTCAGCGAGGATCCGGCAACCAATCAGACGGAGGCAGCTGTGGTACCTGGAGGCAGGAAGGCCCCTTTAGGCTTACGGGCGGCCGACTTCTTACCCGTAAGTTGTTTGTGTCTTTTACATGTCAAAAGCATAGGATTTAGGCATCGTTTCATCCAATTCAGGAGGCGCTCTCTGGTGTTATGAAATTAAACTTCATTATTATAATAATGTTCTCTGTTTTGTCATCAAGTCATTCCACTTCTATGATTGTAAATGCAGCTCATTTCATTTCAGTAGCATTTAGGTAAATTGTGGAGAACCCAATGCCGCAATGACACAGCTTTGAAGAGAGACCTCTAAGTCATTAAAATAAACACAAAGAGAATTGATATAATTCAGTGCATGCACAATAAATGAATTGGATGTTAACGCACTTTATAATGTAATCAAACTTACCACATCTGCTTTTAAGGAATAAAATAACTTTTGCATATCTTTTTGCCTGCTTATTTGGTGTGTTTTGAATGGACACCATTAATAAAGACCACATTTATTTCACACAATGTAAAATAAACTGGAATCACAACTTGTGCGGACATTTTTGCATCTTAATTTAATTCAAAATCTTTCTTTGGATGGCTGTATAGATTGTATAGTAGTTATCACACTTAACACTGAAAATGTATGGTAGTGCAGACAAGGTTCCTAAGGCTGCTTGGTAGTGTTGAAGGAAATATTACCAAATTGCAATTGGCAATCTATCCTAGACATTAATGACTTGTGATGCAGCATTTTCAAAAGAAGATTATTGTGCACCATTATCAGATGAAAATGTTAGTTCCTCCTGCTAAATTACAAAAAAAAATATCTCTGCATAATTTCCCTGACCTGCCTGACAAATGATGAATGTAATTTTACTTGCATCTTCTATAAAAGTACATTGAATTGGATGTGTAATTTTTAATTTAAATGCTTTAATTGCCCAGTGTTGGGATATTGAGGAGTGATCTCATCCCAAATTAGGTTGAAGATAATGAAATACACCCCCACGGTGAAGTAATGCATTTTACTTTAAAAAAATAGGTCACGATATAACATTCAGCAGTGGCCTTAACTCAACTTTCATAAAAAAAATTCTGATTAATACTTTTGAGAAGAAAATAAAAACGTAATGCCTCGTGGATTTGAGTTTGCATCGCATGTGGGATAAAATTTGATGTGTGTTTTTGCAACACCCAAGCAAGCATCATCTTGTGCTTGCACATCTGCTTCGGTGCGCACACTCATATGGGTGCATGTTGGCATGGCTGGTCACAGAACCCCGAGCGGGAGATGACCGAGGAGGAAGTCCTGTCGCAGGTGCGCAAGGGATACGAGACCCTCTGCACTCTCTTGACTGATCGGCACAAGAAGCTCAAGATTGTACTTGCGCTATGGACCAGCTGTGAGATAAAGGTGACCGAGCGGCTTTCTAATTCCTTAACATCTTGGCACCATGATGGCAAGATGTTAACTACCTCACCTGGTATGCAGGAGGGCATGGGTTTGATCTCGACACTAGCGCCTCTATATTTGGAGTTTGCATGTTCTCCCTGTGGTCGTGTGGATTTTTCTCCGGATACTCTGGTTTTTCATTTAGAAACTTGCATATAAATTTCCACATGGTTAGCTTCTTATTTAAGCTGTCATTTGTGACCAGGTTGGTTCTGAAAAAGAGCTGTATAGTTCAGTGGGCCTTACCTGGTAAAATAAAAATAGTTTAGTTTAGGTTTAGACAGCTTTGAGATGGAAGCATGGCCCTCTATACATCTGTACATTTGTAGTGACGTAAATGGAGTCACTATGGCGTTTAGCGCCAGCTACTGTCACAAGAGTGGAACTGTGTGTCTTGATCCTCTCTCTGACACCAGAGTAGGTTTGGCATGGAAGCGGGCCCTAGGGGGCATGATTCTGGTGACGGTCAGAAAGAGGGCAAGTAAGGACGTGACATTCTGGATGAACTCGAGAGGGCACGTTACCGGGACAGGGTAGTGAGGGGGCTCAAAGGGTGGTTTGAGGAAGACGTGGTGCTCTTGTCGAGAACCTTCCGGTAAGATCCAGAAGTGGGCGTGGCCGAAGGCGGAGCGAGGCCACACTCGGGAGGATAAAAGGGAGGTCCCGAGAGCAATCTCGGCTGTCTTCTGGAATCAACCCACTGTGCTACGTCTCTTCGGTCTTCGCTCTTCGGGTTTCGGTCTTTACGCTCGGCTTCGTGGGTCAGGCAGTGCGTTACTGACTGGCCCGGTTATGTAGTTACCCGTTGTGGTCCGAGTTACTCATGGTAGTCACCACTTATGTCGTTATCCCGTATGTTTATGCAGTTACCCTGTTGGGGTGTTAGAATACACGTGTTGCCTCTCAGTTCAAGTGTGTGCCTCCGTAAAACCTACTTCACATTTACTGACATTAGATATAGACTGAAAGCCCATGATATTCTGTGTTTCAGGTGTGAGTAAATGCGACCCAATATGACTTCTGTTTTTATTCATTTCTGTTTCATATGTGTATGAATAGATGTTAGTCATTACAACAAAGCACCTGTATTGACACATACAGGGTAGTGGTGCACTAGCACTACAAGAGGTAAGGGTAGCATTTCCAGGACATAATAGATCTTGCAGCATTCAACAAAAATCGCACGATGAAATAAGTAAAATATGGATCGATTTCAATCAAAGGCATAGACGTAATGCGATCTAATGTGAGGCTGCTCATGAATGTGGTAACTGATGAGTTACACTTAAGAATAATTACTTATTGCCAATCTACTTATCAATGTTTGTGGTGCCTGCATATTTGTGCAGCAATTTTGGTAAAGTATGTTCCCATTTTATTTCCCTCTATGTTCTGTAAGAAGCAGTTTTAGGACACGATAAGCTGATTGTAGCTACAAAAAAAAATCCCACTAATCTACAGTATATGTATCTTTCCTTAATTATGTTATAGTTAAAATATTATAAGGTCAACCACATTTATCTTACTGCCATCCCTTCTTTGCCACAAATACAAGCTTTAAACGGGCTCGTTCTTCACATGGGGATAGAAACCAATTTGGGTGTGGAGATGTGTACTAAAATGTAATGAGCTGAGCTGGAAGAAATACCTTTTTGCAACAACAAAAATTACAAACTATTCTTTGCCTCTGTATGGATCATATTCTTCACTATACCGATTATTTTTGTTTACGCGCATTTTATTTACATAATTTTTGTTTTCAGCGCAAATTCGTAGCCATGCAGAAAGCGTGACAATCTCAATGCTGTCGTGCACCAATGACGATAGCCGCCCTCCATCAAATGTGCGGCAATGAAGCTCGGGATGTACAAAGTTTGTTGTGCGTGATTTTTCTTTCCGCTTGCACAGACGGCCATCGATGCTGCCATCTCTATGAACGACGCTGCCGTCATTAATGACGTCCTCGGCATCATGAACTCAAAGCCGTGAGTGTTAAATCGGAATGAGCGGGAATCAATGGGAGCTCACTCGTCGCTCTGCACGGTCTTATCCGTCGAATTAAAAACTGACGAAACAGCTTCTATTCAAGCTGTGATATGCAACCTTATCTGTAACAAAAGGTCAACTTACATGGGGGCAGTGATATTTAAATCTGACTTTTTATATTGCAACAGGCATATTAACAGAACTGCATGATCAGTGTAACATTTATACAGGTCATAATAATTTTTGGTATCACAAGTGTTCTTTAAATACCTCGTCAGTAAGTTAATATTTATTGAATAAATAAATAAAATGTGTTGCCAAGTATCATGTTACAATTGCCCCATCCCCAATTTTGATTCATAGGTTGTTTCTTCGTCAATTCCGCCATTCACGGGGTTCTTATTTACATCTTTAATATAGCAGTTCCCACCACAGGCCACGATCTTGTGCAGAGGAAGACTTTGAGATTGCCCCTTAGGGACCACCCCTGACTTAGATCGCCCTATATCCATGACACCTCACTTATCTGTATTGGTGCGGTTAAAATGCATTTCATAAATAACTAATTTGTTAGTAAGTATCTTGTTACAAATCACCCACCCCAAATCATGATTAATAAAATTATTGAACTTCTCATGGTCCTAATTAGATTCAATTATATTTCTTTACATTGTGGTCAATGTATAGTGGCTTCTAGTGCACTCTGACAACATTGATCCATACACGCATGACTTGACGCTCGCATTGTGCACTTGAGAATCGATCTTCATGAATTGTGATGCATTGTTACACCTCCAATTAATACTCAATGTTTTTTACTTGCATTCCAAATGCGGCACTTGCAATATGTAATGTCATAATGTGCTGAATCAGGGGTGCACTATATTACACTGGCATAGCTCTACGAGTTTTACATCATTTGATGAAAAATCATTTAGAAAACTCAGAGCAGCATGCACTGGAAAACATAACTTCACAGCAATTCTCCCTCAAACGCCCGCAAGTGGCCTTTTTATATATTGTACATTTTATGGGGTTTATTTTCTCATGCACTCTCCGATGAATGAGATTGTCATGGGACAGTAGAACTTATATATATATATTTTATTTTGAGAGTTTAATTAGTCATGTCAAGCACAGAACCAGTTTGTATGTCGTGGGTTTTTGTGCAGTCATTGGAGACCGTGCTGAGGTCATCAACTCATTACACTTGAACCCAGTTCTATCATGGGCAACTGCCCAGATTCAAACCCAGGATCTCGGCAGTGCAGGCTCAGTACTCTGACCCCTGAGTCTTAAAAAAAAACTAAGCATACCTCATATTCTTGGTTCTTTCGGTAAAGTCACGTAGAAGGGAAACAAAATAATAATAAAAAAATATATAAAACAATACAATTCTCAAGATGTTTCGACTGCAACACAAGCAATCATCATCAGGTGTGAAAACCACAGCAAGAAAATTTGAAAAAAGTGGCGTTTTTTTAATGTTAGCACCACGGAGAGCGATTTGGCAGTTATTCAGATGGACGAGCCCATGGACGAGTCCATCTATGTTCGGAAAAGAGGAGGGGGGAGACGAAAATAATGGATGCGGTCTGAAAGCCACCGTATGCGTGAACAATCAATTAAGACCCGAAATGGTCTAAGCCAGAATCCATCTTCTCGGTTGAAATTGTCTGTATTTGTATATGTGGATAGCCTCATGAACGAATCTTTCATGGTAGCCAGATGGCTTGCAAAGAACCTCTGTCATGTGAGCCTACTGAATTATAACAGTGATCTGTGTTGTATATGGGCCTTTTTCCACAATTAATATTAATAATATTTGCCGATATTTTTTTTACAATAATCGATAAATAAATAAACACCCTCAAACTGACAGGAACCGACACCCAGAATAAGCATCTGGAGGTCGTGAATGGCCATTAAATAATAAACTCCAGGGTAAAGGGAGGTTAACGACTCTCTGAAAAATCTCCAGATTGCCAAAGAACAGTTCACAAATAAATACCCAGAATCACAGACACGGACACAGCACAGGGCAAACGAACATTATAACTGATTTTTTTTGTCATGGAAAAAGTTAAAGCTTGGCTATAAGAATAAGGCAATATGAGTGGCTTTATTATTACTTATTTTATTTCACCCTTATTCAACTCACATATTGTTTCTTATTGTATCTTCTATCTACGTGACTTTACCAAGAGAACCAAAGTACATGAGTTCCTGCAGTCACGAAAGCTTAAGTCCAAACTAAGCTATATATCCAACCTCCGGATATCAGAAATAACTCGCCAATAAACACCGACCCATGGCGACACGAACTGAGGACAACTTAGCAAAGCCTGGAATCGTGGTGGTAACATCTAATGGTACATTACAAATCTTGGTTAAACATAAACCAAATAATAATTACAAGAGATTAGACCTGGGATAATTCAGTAGAGGTACAAGAAATAGGTCAACCACAGACCAGATAATATGTATTCCATTAAATCGGAGCCTCCCCAGCCGCCTTTGTCTTCCAACGGTTTGACACAAACACATGGTAGCCATAAAATACGCATGAAGGGAGAGTGCCTCCCCTCCCTAATAGGAGAAACCACGAAGAGAGGGATTGGGAATGCAAACAAACAAAATGTGATGGTAAAACAGTCAAAGGTCAAAAGGGGGGGGGGGCAGCCAGGCCGCTGCTGCCACAGGAGGAGGACGGTGACAGAGGACATCTGTTTTTTTTTCTCTCTCGCAAGAGACGCGGAGAGAGGAGAGAGAATTTCACATTTAAGCTCGTCAATTCAGCTCATCAAACCAGTCGCAGGAGACGGCGACCATCAGCTCAGAAGAGGACAGCAAGCCAGCCCCCGGGCATCGAAATCAACAATGCGTGTGGTGCATCGCAGAGAAGAGGGGCGAGGTGATGTTAGGTGCTATTGCGATAAGCTGTATCGTACTAAGCTATCAGAGTTGTGTAAGAGGTGTGCAAATACAATTTTCAAGTTTTGAGAGTGAGCAACAATTAAACTCAACAATTCAGCTCCACAAGGGACAGCTCGGTGAGCGACAGAAGAGGGCGGCGAGCGGCAAGCTCCGGGGTGAGACTCTGCAATCAACCAGTGATGGGGAGACTTGCCGAGTAGCGATGTGTCACCGAACACGAGTTTAGAGCTGACAGAAGAAGTATCGCTCAAAGTCATTCTATCCTGAGTGTCAGCTCCCACCAGCAACTCCACCGAACAAGGGTGTCTGCCACCAGCGAACGAACTGCACGCGCAATCAGGCATCGACAAGAGCACGGGGCAGGAGGGAGCGCGTACAACGCAGCTCCTCCAGCCGTGGAAGGAGCCTGCTGCTGTCAGCGGACCAGCGGCGAGCGCAATCGAGCATCTTCAAGGAGAGAGCGCGTGCAACGCAGCTCCTCCAGCCGTGGAAGGAGCCTGCTGCTGTCAGCGGACCAGCGGCGAGCGCGAGCGAGCATCTTCAAGGAGAGAGCGCGTGCAACGCAGCTCCTCCAGCCGTGGAAGGAGCCTGCTGCTGTCAGCGGACCAGCGGCGAGCGCGAGCGAGCATCTTCAAGGACGAGCAACGTGCCGACGCAGCTCCTCCAGCAGCGGAAAGAGCCGGTATCTGCCAGCGTACGGGCAGCCAAGCCAACGCCCCGAGCAAGCAAAGCAACGAAGCTGTTGTAAGACACGCCCACCGTTGTAAGACACGCCCACCCTCACACCCTCACCGCTCTGCAGGGGACAAACACAATTTTTGATACAAGCGATGCCAACCTCGGCGTTTGCTTAACGCAAGAAGATCAACAACACTCACACATTAACACATACAAGAAGACTCATGATAAGTGCATCAACTACTAGCTGATAACGAAGAACATTGCGGCCCATTGAGTTACGTGGATAAGGTAATTTAGAAGCATCTTAGTCGTTCGTTTTTCTTTCTTTTCTTTTAATTGTATAATCTTGCCGATGGCTCTATTGACGTATACTTTGCCTTTGGGGTATAATAATTGCTTTTATCGCCTTTCGCATGAATATCGTCGGATTAATTTTTAAGGACTTTTTGTCCCTATTTGCCGTGTATGCTCGTGTTACTCTGAAGTAATCAATTGATCTGTTACCCAATTAACAACGTGACCATTGTGGGTTAAATGTATGGATCAATGAGGTTGATAATTCCAAGCATGAGAGTTCGCATATTATAGTGTTAAAGTTTTGTTTAGAATTAAAATTGCTTAACACAGAAGTGTTTGAGTGTTTCTTTCCTGAGTTCATGCTTAATAATCTTATTGATAAGAACTGTATTCTGCGTTGAGATTTACATAAAACACTAATACATAATCAGTGAATGTTAAAGCGAGAATAAGAGTATTATTATAATCTTGGTTCTTTCGGTAAAGAACGTAGAATATGAATCCCTGCAGTCACGAAAGCTTTAAATCAAAAAGAGAATAAAAGTTATACCGATCGATAATACGAACCTAGATAACGAAGCCGAGTTAATCTGGCGTACTTACATCACACCTGCATAACCTCATACGATCAATTGTATTATCCCGATTGATAATACTACCCTCATATTCTTAGTTCTTTCGGTAAAGTCACGTTGAAGGCAAACAACTAAATAATAAAAGAACTAAGAATATGAATTACTGCAGTCACGAAAGCTTTAAATCAAAATACTACCCTCGTCAGCGAGGCGGGGCCTAATTATCATAACGGCTTGTATTAACATAATCACACACACTCGCATAAATTAATACGCTTATATCTCGAATCAGCATAATTTATGCATTTTTTGAAGTTTCATTTTTATTATTATTTTCATTCAAATTTTCAATACCCTGATATACAACATCTGCCACGGCCGAGGTGTTGGTCCTACCGTGTTTTAAGTCTGCTTTGTGTTCACGAATGCGGTCCGAGACATGTCGTTTGGTTTCTCCAATGTAACTACCACCACAGAGGCAACTTAGTTTGTTGACGCCAGGGTACTGTATGTCCGGAAACACATCTTTTACAGACGAAACCAGATCACGGATTTTATGTAATGTGTTGAATCGGACCTGGATCTTGTGTTTATTCAATATTTTGGAGATCTTTTTTGTGATCCCCGCAATGTAGGGTAAAGTGATGGTTTTGAAAGGCTCCTCAAGAGGGTCCTTCATGGTTGGAGTGATAGCTTTGCGGATTGTGTAGTCGGAGTAACCATTAGCCTTAAGAGCATGGTGTACGTGCTTGAGTTCACTGGCTATGTGTTCCTGGTCGGATATGCATTGGGCTCTATGGTGCAGAGTCTTGATGAGGGAATTCTTCTGGGATGGATGGTGGTGGGAATCCGGTTTCAGGTAAGCATCCATATGGGTAGCTTTCCTGTAGACAGAGTGGCTCATTGAACCATCAGGTCTCTTTTTTATTAGGACATCCAAAAAAGGTAGCTTGCCATCTTTTTCGACTTCCATGGTAAATCTGATGGCTGAGTGTATGGAATTGATGTGGTCGAGGAATTGGTCGAGAGCAGGCCGGCCATGTGGCCAGATGACAAAAGTGTCATCCACGTACCTCTTCCATAAGGTTTGGCACAAATTTCTCCATGAAAATGTTGGCTACAACCGGAGATAGGGGGGAGCCCATTGGGGTGACCTCAGTTTGTTTGTAGAAAGTTCCATTCCAAGTGAAGTATGTATTGGTTAAGCAGTGTCTCACCAGGGGGGGTACCTCAGTGATTCCAGACATACAGTACCCTGGCGTCTACAAACTAAGTTGCCTCTGTGGTAGTATTCTTAGTTTTTTTCGGTAAAGTCACGTTGAAGAGAAACAACAAAATAATAAAATATATATAAAACAATAAAAAATTCTCACGACGTTTCGACCATAACTCAAACGGTCGTCTTCACATCTGAAGACGACCGGTGTGAAGACGACCGTTTGAGTTATGGTCGAAACGTCGTGAGAATTTTTTATTGTTTTATATATATATTATTATTTTGTTGTTTCTCTTCAACGTGACTTTACCGAAAAAACTAAGAATATGAATTACTGCAGTCACGAAAGCTTTAAATCAAAATCTGTGGTAGTAGTTACATTGGAGAAACCAAACGACATGTCTCGGACCGCATTCGTGAACACAAAGCAGACCTAAAACACGGTAGGACCAACACCTCGGCCGTGGCAGATCACTGTTATAATTCAGTAGGCTCACATGACATTGACTTCTCCAAGACAGAGGTTCTTTGCAAGCCATCTGGCTACCATGAGAGATTCGTTCATGAGGCTATCCACATATACAAACACAGAGACAATTTCAACCGAGAAGATGGATTCTGGCTTAGCAATCATTGGAAGGATTTGATAAACCATTTCGGGTCTTAATTGATTGTTCACGCTTACGGTGGCTTTCAGACCGCATCCATTATTTTCGTCTCCCCCCTCGTTTCAGAACATAGATGGACTCACCCATCTGAATAACTGCCAAATCGCTCTCCGTGGTGCTGACGTTAAAAAAACGCCACTTTTTTCAAATTTTCTTGCTGTGGTTTTCACACCTGATGATGATTGCTTGTGTTGCAGTCAAAACGTCGTGAGAATTTAATTGTTTTATATTTTTATTATTTTATTGTTTCCCTTCCACGTGACTTTACCGAAAGAACCAAGAATATGAATCCCTGCAGTCACGAAAGCTTTAAATAAAAATTTAAGCATACCTCGTAAATAATTGATTTCATTTTTACTGTAGAATTTACACGCATCTCACACCCATTGTTTGCGCACTGAAGTGTGGGTGTGTCATGCGTTTGGATGCTATTAGTTGCAAAAGCCTACGTGTTAAACCAAGAAAATTGTTCTTTGCTTTGTGATGCTAAGGCACAGCTTACTGATTTAAGCATAAACCATTCAATAGTCTATATAACGATTTAGGGCACTTGTTTGGCTGCGTTAATACATTGATTCAAAATGTGTTAAGAGTTTTGTGCTTCGTAAATAATTTGCCAGACCTCATCAGCTATTGGACAAATAGGTTGTCATCGGGGTGCAGAGCTACATGGTGGGTAGCAGACGGCACTGCAGCAAACGCTATTGTTCTGATCTTTAACGCTTATGCATCTGTTCTCCCCTTCTTCACCACCCCACAATGGGCTGCGTGGTAAAGCGTGGTTAAGTAACCCTCGACACCAACACGGAGTGGTGCAGCCCTCGTCCAGAATTCAGTTGACAAGCAACTATATATAAGTTCACCGGAACATACACATTAAAAATATTCCCTGTCTCTCACTATTCACAAATCCCATCTCTAGTACTATCATAGCTTCTTCCTAATCATACAAAATATATTGGCGTGAAAGTGTAATTCTTTCGCGTCGTCTGTTTTTACATTAGGTTTTTTTTGTTATGTTTACCAGAGTTATTTACGTGTGGAATTTCACAAAGCATCACCTGTGCACTCATCTTCTTGTAACAAGCGAGTGCTTGAGAGAGGGGCTGACAGACGTGCGTATGCACAACTCTACTCGTCTCTGTGCAGACAGTGAGTGCCTGTTACGCTTGGGCTGCATCCGTGCAACAAACAGGGCACCTTGACACATTCACAGCAGCTCAATTGCTTTTCACCTGGCCACTTGTGTAGAGTAGGAGGTAGTGACGTCATGTCACGCTCGCCCTCTGGTACGATGACGTCACAGATGGTGACGTCATGCACAGGGGGCGGGACGGTGACATGTTCCCCTGGGGGATTTAAGCTGGAACCCGTCACGGGCTCAGGGTCGTCTGGAGAGTCCCTGAACATAAAGTGTGGAAGTCGTGACCCAGGGTAGGGGGAAATTAGCACCTGGCTAGGGTAGCCTGTGGGTGTGCTAGGGACCTCCCCAGTACCCTTCCCCTAGGGGAGCGATGGGTCCCCGGGGTAGGGGGAAATTGGCACCAGGCTAGGGTAGCCTGTGGGTGTGCTATGGAATCCCCAGTACCTTTCCCCTGGGCTGTGGAGTGTAGGCAGTGAGTGTGCAGTACACGGAGTCGTCTGTGACGAGAGGTCTTTAATAAAACAACTGGCGCAAGCCCCTACACGAAGATCTGCCTCCGAGTCATAATTTACGCCTCAACACTTGTCTGGATTTATAGATTGTCCATAGAGAGTCACTGCTGCACCATTAACAATCGCAGTTGGCCGTATGCTTGGTGACAACTTCTATTTATAATCATGCGATCCTTTATTATTTTCAAAAATAATATGGTGAATAAAAAATGTTGGAGACATGACATAAACACATGTGCTGTTTAGCTACCTACTTGGCTTTTGCTATTTTTATTTTAAGAGGGTATTTTTGTGGGTGTACATTCATTTAAAGTACTGTAGTTATTCGGTTGAATGAACGGCAATAAGAATGTCATATTTTGCGATGGTGATCGAAAGACAAAAAAAGCTCAGTCCACGATTACTCAATGTTCTTTCCAAAGCTCGATAATGGGGAGAGGTTACAAATAACATAGCTCATCCAATATTACACAAAGTGTGCGTACTTTGATTTACATAAATGTACATCTTTCTGGTTTTTGTGACATAAGAGATATAACATGAGCCATCATCTTGCACCATTATCCTATAATGTTTGTCATTTTCTCTGTCATTCTGAAGGAGCAATAGCAAACGTTCTCGTGCTATCATTCAAACACGTTATCAGGAAGGCCACTGTTAAAGGAGCCCTGTTATTAGACACACAGTGACCATGAGCTTTCTTAAATTGTCATCGAGTATAGAAATAACTGCAATAAATGTTGACATTTTCAGTAGGAGCACAATACTGCAAGCCTCAGTGGTGTGGTGATTACTCTGAAACCACTGCTGTTGGCGCAGATTGCATTGTAAAGATGCCGTGCGATAATGTACCATTACATCTAATCTGCCGAACACATGTTTTGTAACGCACTGCTGCCCGTTTCCAAAAGGAAATCGTAAGTGGCTGTTTTGTTTACAATGCACAAAGGTCATTAGACCCGTGGTGTGAGACAATTTTTTTACGTCCGTTTTATTGTTCAAATAAAGCGTACACTGGTGCAGTGGCATCAACAGTGGAACAGGAAGCAACCACTGTGCTGCATTCCTGGCGAACCTGGCTTCCAGTTTCTGGCCATGATGCACACACCTATTAAGTTAACTGGATGTAAAATGTATTTCTGTGTACAGTGGTGGTGGTGAAGTATGGTTAAACAGCCCCCCCCCCCCATGACTGACATACCGTATCAAGTCTTCATCCAGCAATGGATCTACAAAGAGCTGTACATTTTTATTATTCCAGTAATGTGGTCACCATACACAGGGAACAAAATCAACCCCACATGTTGATGGCCATACCCCCCCCCTCCCCACCCCCTTGTGCTAGGCCAACTTCAAGAGGTGCTTTCTCATCACTCTTATTCTGACAGTTTCTAAAGAGATGCGTGTACTTTTTGCGTTTGGTATTTGTTTAAAATGGGTATGCTCGCATATATATGTGTGTGTGTGTATTCCTTTCCATGTGCTTGTGGCAGCTCCCTTTGGAGGCTGGACCTATGCCCAGCACTCATCCCTCAGATAGAAAAGCTCCTGCATAGCAAATATGAGAGGTGAGTGTGTGAGTGGTGGCAGGGGTACTTGCTTTGACAACCTTGGCTTGAAATGGCAATGTATTTTCAATGCTTACAAGTGGTGAGTTACAAGATGACAGGCTAACCCACAAAACCCTCGATTATTTTAAAATCTAAGCTGTAGCACCGTGTACTGTGGCCTATTGTAAAGTCATGTTCCATAACATTGCTTGTAAATAAAGCATAACATATCTGTTATTTCTAACGAGCTGAACCCAGATTTTTTTAAAAAAATTGACTTGTGTTCTTACCTCTCGCAGAACCTCCACTCAACACTCCCTCCAAATCTCCACTCTCACCATCTCTTCACTCTCTCCTGACGTGTCACTTGCATCTCAGACAGTATCAGTCCCATCTGCCAGGCCTCAAGCCTCACTCTCCCTTCTCCCTATCCTCTCAACTCGGGCTCTTCTTCTGTGTCCTGAGTCGTTCCATATCAACAAAGCTACACCTGTTTCTGTAGTTGTATAATGGTGTATTTCACTGTGTAACCACAAGAGGGCTGTGCCCAAGACTTGCAGCCAAATGTAAGCTTGGGCACGCACCATATTAATCTCCATATATATAAAAGGCAAAGTTGTGAATGTGTGTCTGTTCAAAATGTTTAGCGTACTTCCCGATGTGCAACAAACTTGAAATTTGCCATGTGGGTACTTTCCAGACTGTACACCATGCAAAAATTTGAAAAATACACTATTTTTGGGGGGGGGGGGGGGGGCGGTAGCTCAATAATGCATATATTTTTTGCATGGCAAGTGAGCTATGACGTCAAATCTGTCATGTGACCCGCACATGTGGAAGCGTAACGCATTATGGTGTAGTGGTTAGCGCGCTGCGCTACGAACCCAGCGACCCAAGTTCGATTCCCGCTCACGGCCACCACCGGTGACGATTATTTGAGCCGGTCCTGGGCCTCCCCTAGGTCGACTCAGCCTCAAACGAGTAACTGGTGTGGTGTATGAACATCACCACTGGGGAGACAAAGGCGGCCGGGCGTGGTGAATTATGTCCCGGGCGAAGCCAGGTAGTAAAGCTAGTGTTATATAATAATAAGAAGAAGAATTGTAATGGTGACTATTAAAACCTCTAACTGCAATAATAGCAATAATAGGGTTTTTTCCCCTTTTTTTGGCAACAAAACAAACCTTTTTTTAGAAAGATTCATGTCTGCATTAACCACAATACCTGCAATCAAATTGCAAACAAATGAAACTGATTGGTCCACACCCTTGGTGTGGACCAATCAGTTTCAAGGACAATGCATATATTACCATAGTATGTTTTTTGTTTGCATTTTGACTGCAGGTATTGTGGTTAATGCAGACATGAATCCTTGTAAAAAGGTTTCAGTTTTGTTGCCATAAAAAAGGGGAAAAACCCTATTATTACATTTTGGTACTGGCAAAGGAGGTCTAATGATGCAATAATAGCATCAATGGTATGAGTCTTTGTTCGACGTTAACCTAATTTTGTTCCACTCTCAAAACTCTTCTCCATTGCCCATTCCCTTCCTTTCCCTCGTCCCTCCACTCCGTCCCATCCTTCCTCTGCCCTTTCGTCACCCCCACATGCCCTCTGTTATGGTCACTCATTGCTTGGCCCTTGTACGCCGCTTGCCATCTAAAAATTTTGTTACCGCTTTCGTAAAGTGCCTTGAGCTAAGGGATTATGCAATAATTACACTAGGAACCCCACACAATGGTAATTTCATAAGGATGCCTTGGAAGGAGCGTTCACAGACGGTCCTGTGCGTGTGTGTAGTTACGTTCTCACCGGATGCGTGGCCCTCAAGATCATCCTGCAAAACTTTGCTTCGGTCATCAAGGGCAACCTGACAGTTCCGCCGTCGTCCATGGTGGACATCACACGCGAGGAGAGGTGAGCAGCCATATCACTGCTGGTGTGGATACTTACTCTTTCACAATCATTAGAGATATGTCCATTTCGAGCCACTTTTTATTTTGGAAAATCTTGCGGCTCGTATTTTTCTGCTGTTTGGAATGATATAACAAAGCCGTTAACATCGTCTGTGCAGCGTATGGTATCCTTTGTTTACGCATTATCGAACAGAGATGGGATTTGAGTGGTTGAACCCTTGTGTTATAACTACTAGGGTGTTTGAATTGATGAATGCACAGATCAGTGAATCTACCTGCTGTATTCTGAGAATTACCTATGATTAACTATATATATGACTATCATCACGATAGGAATGATAAATGCAGCACGATCTTTGAAGGGGACGTAATAAATGGTGATATTTCAAAGGAGTCGATGCGCAGAATACAATTGTGCCAATCATTGCATCTCAATTCGTGTAGTGCATTTAGAGTTTAATAGAAAGTGATTTGATATCGTCTGCCATGCAGCATGCGATTGGTGATGCTGTAGTGTAAATAATTGATGTTTTTTTCATTGACTGGAAATTCTGTTGGCCACGGCTGACATGTTGTGGAATCTGTGTGGATGGTGCATGCAGGGACGAGGAGTAGTTGTCACAACAAATTGTTGCAAAGTACAAAGGCAGTCAACGATGCTAGGCCATGCGTAAAATGTGAAATGTCTTAATTTGATTTTTAAAAAATTCTGAGAGTTATGGTTATCCTTTTTTGTTCGCACGTTTTCCTTACGCCACTTCATAACGGTCAAGCTGCTGCATAAGTAATACATGCATGATTGCATATCTTTGACTTCTTATGGTATAATATTTGGTGCTGTTTGTGCAGTATATGTTTCATACATTCAGTCGGCGCCATAAATTAGAACCATGTACAGGTTCATGACTGTATAGTGTTTTATTTTAAAAGGGAGACCTTAATACAACTTGGTATGGCATTGCTCAGCTTGGGATTATTAATTTAAGTGAAAAGAACGCTTGGCTCTAATGGTTTTGTTGCTTGGATGTCATAGCAGACTAGTCCCAGTCACCTGTAATCGATCTCTGACGATGCATGTCAAAGCCAAATGCCGTTCTGCTTTATCCCTTGGTCTCGATTACGGTGGCTCCATCTGAAATTAACTCATTTTCCAGCAGGCTCAACAGCAGGAGACGTTAGTGGCTCCTTCACTTTTTTGCCCATGGTATTCATAATGAATGCTGTTTAAAAATTACTTGTTCCAGCAAAAAAACTAGATTTAAAATGGAATGGTTGCGTGTGTTCTTGTACGTGTGCGCTACGCAGATATCAGAAGTGCAAGGTGTGCCATCGGCTTCTCATGAACCTGCGACCTCTGTTGGACAGCAGAAAGACTCGATCTGGACGTGTGAGCGGTGCCTTCCGTGAACTCGGAATGCTCATGATCACGTTCGATTGAACTTTCCTGGCCAGCGCACACAAGTACCCTCCTCCTGGTGGCTCCTCAGCCGAGCCACACGGAGCCCGGTGGAGCAGTGCACGCGGGCGCTGAAACAAGGCGTGGTCAGGGCTCCCGACGTTCCGCCCGAGAACGGTCTCTCCCAGTGGGCTTGTCCCCGCCGTACGGCTCAACAAGTTGTCATTGATTACGTCAGCTGCTTCATTTTTTTTTTCTTTTGCAGCATGACTGGAATTTACAATCTTAATTGCAGCCGCCATTCCTCTGGGCACACAGAAAACACTCACGGTATGGAGACGGGACGGTGCTTGATCACTGTGGGTCACAGTCAAGCGGAAGATTGTTTTTTTTACAAACTCAACTGTGGTGTGATCCAAGTCTCGTTTTATTTTTTTTCTTCAAAAATGTGGAATTGACTTCTGAGAAACAGAGTGGTCAGATTTGCAGAGTGCCTCCTGTGGCACAGAAAACAACATCACGCAAGAAGGAAGTGCCGTGCCTCCCTGATGCGTATGGCAGAGGGCGGGGAGGCCCGCTTTTTGCGCCGTAAAAGAACTTGCGTTGAGACGCTCATTCATTCTGCCGCGTGACCAGAGAGGCTCGTGATAACGCAGCCCTTGAACCCAGACGGAGTCGAAAAAGAGCAGTCGTAATATTCGGGAGGATGGTGATGAAGCCACTTGGAATAAATGCAACTCTTGAAACTTTTTTGTTGCTTGTGAAGCATTTGCATTTTTTTTTGTTATCGGGGACTTGCTCTGCGATTGCACATGCAAAACATGCAGTCGAGTGTGCGCATGCTGGTTGCTGTGCCAGAGAGAAACGCCGCGTTGTGAGGAACTGGCTTGAGCTGTGCCTCTCGGGCTGGTTGAGAACCTTGCCTCCTTGGGATGTGTGTTTAGCACGTACAGTGGTGCCTGCAGAAGCCTTGGGATGACCTGTGACCAGTGTGTGGTTCTTTTTTTTTGTTTATTTGGGAGAAGATCCTGAGAGGAAGGGTGCCCTGTCGTGCATGTGTCGCTCTGCCCGTGCCTCCATTGCATCGCGTTTAGTCTCGGCGTTGTACAACTGTGATAAATGGGACGGTCAACAAAACAACAGAAAGTGAAAGGTGAAGATCACAATTATTTCCCTTCGGGAAAGTGTGTACGAACGTGTTTGTTGACGTCGATCTTTTTGTATATATAGTGACTTCATTTTATATTTGTTGTCAAACAAAAATATTTCTAAGCACTATAACATTTGGCAGTTAATATGCACTAATACTTGTAAAATACACTTAAGCATATTGTAAAAAAAAACTGCCAAATTCCAATATTTGTGACCTCTCTGCCCAGCATTGACGTGTAAGGGGACACACGTGTTCGTGTAAGGGGGCATACACACGTGTTCGTGTAAGGGGGCATACACACGTGTTCGTGTAAGGGGGCATACACACGTGTTCGTGTAAGGGGGCATACACACGTGTTCGTGTAAGGGGGCATACACACGTGTTTGTGTAAGGGGGCATACACACGTGTTTGTGTAAGGGGGCATACACACGTGTTCGTGTAAGGGGGCATAAACACGTGTTCGTGTAAGCGCACGCATTTACACTTGTACAGTGTACACTGAAGAATCTTAACAGAACAAGCTGGAGTGCACGGATGAACTATGCACAACCTCATTACGCCAGAAGGTAGCCATCGTGTTCCATGTGTTTATGCAGACTCCCAAGAAGCACTTTGGTGTGCCTGATTTCCATCCCAAGAACCCTGTCAGCTTTTGCTTCCCACTGCACCAAATGAGTACTGCAGAGAGCAAGGGGCATGCCTTATTAAAAACTAAAAAAAAATCGCAGGTTGAGTGTGCAGGTATAACAACTGCATCTGAACAACAATAAACAATCCGCTTTCGAGTCAACTTTTAAACGTTTTGTTTTCTTTGAAATGAAAAAGTAACACCCTTGCTTCGGTTGTATTGTGAGTGGTGCCGGTGTCCATTTTTGGCTGGGGTTATGACACGGTGCAACTGTAAAAATGAGATGTCAGCTTCGGTGTACACTGCAAGCGAATGGATGAGGTGCTTCCTTCCCCGTGTAACATTTGTGTTGGGGAAAAATGGGTGGTGTGACATGCATTACTAATGCGGTCAGACACAACAAAATTCTAATCTTAGAACATTACCGCTGCATTGGTATACGAAGTTTTTTTTGGTATTCTATTTTAAAGCTACGTTTCCACAATGCATTGTACATTTATTACATGCATTGAAATGATACGGATAGTTTCCTGCAATGGCAAATGACATTTGGCATTTTGATTCAGCTCCTTTGAAGCTGACGTCATATATTAGCGACTATTTAGGTCAACAAATAATGCCATGCTGAAATACCACAAACTACCGGTGATTGGTTAGTCAATTCAAGGTCAGCCGATGCTGTCAATGAATATTAAGTGAATGCTTTCATCTGCACCTTTGTTTCAGTGGGGGGTTAATGTGAATGTGATATCAAGCATACCTTACAAAATGTTCGTTAACATTTCAGTAAAAAAACAATGTAGGTTTTGTTGTGCCCTGTAGTGGATGGGCTTATCTGAAATAACCCTAGCTCTGATCACATTCACTGCTGCAATTACTGTCACTGACCGCACCATTTAAAATAGGCCATACGTCTGACTTCATTCAACACGAGTAATGATCACTATGAAAGGACCATTTCTCAAGAACCCCCAAGTAATTCCTGCATGCGATTACAACACGTCTAGTATAAGTGGGAGAAGTAGTTTATATATTCTCCATGTCTGAGAGTGCTAACCATCAGGGGCTTTTCAAAATGTACATATTCATATTGGGTCTTTTTTTGCTTAATATTATTTTTAGGGCTATTTAAATTTGTATTGGATGGAATGGAATTCAAAATAAAACTAGTTTGTGCTTTTGTTCATGCGGACGTTTGTGTTTCTCATTGTGTGACATTGCAAATGCTGAAGAGTGAGCTAGATTAGTATATTTGCTTATTTTCCCCAGTCTGAGGGGAGTGTCGTATTTATAAATGCAATATGAGCGCGTGAACTTGTACGTACACTTGTGAGCGCAAATCTTGCATTTTCACTGCCTTTATTCGGATCCTTTTGTTGTGCAGGCCTGCATATGTTTTGCGTATATATTTTGCATCAATTCGATTTTCAAGTCATAAAACCACAAGATTATACCATATTTTACCCACTTGCATGGAAAAGACGTGTTTTGTCTTGTGCGAATGTATTTTTATACCAATCCATGTTATCTATATTTAAAATCAAACGCATTAAGGAATATGCACCTGTATTTCCCACGAGTGATGTGTATGTACTATATATGTATTTCATTTGCACAGAAGCTTTTCCATGTGTCGTGTCAACGATTCAGAGACAGAGTTTCTAGGAGGCACCTTCTTTATGAACAACTTTCAGGGTCTCGTCCGCACATTCTCCACAGCTACTTAGCATAGCATGTACACAACGATAGCTGTCTAACACTGACGGCGCTGACTGAGATGGCCAACTACTCTCCTTCGTAGCATAATATCTCGCGGAGACGTTTAGAGACGACAGCGAAGACGAGACGAGTCCATTCCCAGAACCGGCAGCCTCGAGTTTTCGCTCCCGGCTTCTTTTATGCTACCAGCGCGGCCTGGCTCTGCCCTGACCACGCCTCCCTTCTCGAACCCACTAGCAGGTTCCAGGGGCCTCCAGATGGGGTCCTCCGTGACCCTTACCCGAGTTCCTCCTCTCTGCCAACACACAAGGTGCTCACGCACACCGGCGTGTGTACTGTCTGTCCACCCCAGATGCCGCTGCTGTCCACCAGCCGGCGCTATTGCACTACACATGTAATAGAAGACTGGCATTTATCATGGCATTTCCTCTGTTATTGTGGAGGAAGTCATGTGTAATCCGATCTCTCAGAGGCAGTATTCGTGGATCATGCAAGAGATGAGGTCTTTGTGAGATGTACACCGCCTGCAAGAGGCAGTATAGAAAGCCGATATCTGATGTATCCTTTCGTCTGACATCTTCCCCTTGTAGCATGGGATTTCTCCAGGCACTTGAAGTCTCAGCTGAATCTCGAAAGCAATTTTGACCAATGGTCAAAAGCGACACCCCCTCTGGAATGGATTGTTTACCAGTTCCACCCCCCTTTTAACGCAACTAACACGTGTGCGCGTAAAGTAAAATAGCTGCGCTAGGGAAAATGGAAAAACGTTGAAATCGAGCGCTGCCTGCATTATAATAAATTTAATTGTGTAACATGTATGACAATATGCAAACCTGACGTGTAACACGACTGCTGCGTTTAACAGTTAACGCAGTAACATCTTAATGGACCTGTGTTAATTTCCACCGTAGTGACCACGTGCTTTGTACTGTTAATATAACAATTTAGATATGTATGGTTATTGTCGAACTTTGGATCGTTGCTCCGACAATTCAATAGATTATTGCATGGCAGTATTAATGCATTCGAGTGAAGTGCATTTCTTGGGAATTGGCGCCAACTTTGTAAGAGTGCAACACCTGCCAGGCATATACGCACACAAAACAATTGGGAAAGTGGTAAAACCGCGTGGCGAAAGTTCCACACCCGCTTTCGCTCGGGAAACCGAGTCGACCCGTATGTTAATGAGCTCATTGTGACGTCACGGGGCCGGCTGTTTTGTCACGTTGAGGATATGCCCAGGAATTCGGAGAAGAGCGGGGCGGGGGGGCACTCTGTGTGCTCGGTTTCTTAGAAGAGCCGCGGTCGCGACACTTTTCTTTATCCAACAAAGAGTGTGGGCTCAACAAAGGAAGTGGGAGAGAAGGGCCTCAAGGCCTTCCTGGGTAATCATGCAGAGTATATGAATCGATTGGCGGTGACCTGGCGGTGCCAAACCCTCCATAACTCCGAAACCAGAAGACCTATGAAGACGGGAGATGTCACTGAGCCCGATACACACGCCAAATATGGAAATAAAAAAACACACGCAAAACACCCATAAACAAGGGGGGCTGCTGGGAATTTGTGCGTGGCAACGGTTGTTTATTGCTTGTTTTGAAAGTACATCAGGATGCTTGTCTGGTCATTCCCCAGCACGTTCTGCTTCTTACGGGGGCGGCCCACTCCCTTGTCTTTGGGAGCGAGACCACTCGGAGGCAATGGCGCACCAGGCCCTCTCTTGGTACGGCCGGCGGTCACGGTCGTGCTGGCGGGATCGACATCGTCCTCATCATCGCTCAGAGCGTCGCCCTCCGGCAGGAACAGGGTGGTACCAGCGATGCTCCCAGAAAAAAAAAACCTTGATTTTTGAAGCTAATTAGGCGTGGGTACTTGGATGGGAGACCGACCGGGAATACAGCAATTTGGGGCTGCAAGTGGGAGGCCAGGAGATGGCAGTACTGCAATAGGGTTTTCAACAGCACTGCATAAATTGCGTACGCGTGGATTTTTCTCTGCGCACTTTGGTTTTAATTCCAACGTGCAAAATAATAATTTATGAAATTGGACAAAAATGTCCAAATTCAGTACTCTCCCGAAGAGTAGTCTCGTAATTTAGTGAAGTCAATTGAAGGGCATTATTTTTGTAATGACTGGCAACGTGGAGTGTTTCAGGCAGTGAAGTCCCCCACTCCTAATAATACCACGTCACTAATAATGAAATCCTGGTGTGTTGCCTTTAAAACTGTGATTGCTGACAAAACAAGGCACGAAATAAAACACCCACATACACTCAACAAAATGAGGATCAGCTCTTGTCGTATCCAGTAGAATCCATCCATGCACCTGTATATCCTTAACATTGCTGTTGGCGAGCGCCTATGAAGGCCGGCACGGCACACGATGTGATGGGTGGTCGGCACCACGCCCATACATAACATCACAACCGCCATTCACCACGAAATGGTGGTGACGTCACCACGACGCTTGTGCCAGGCTATGTGCACGTTGAGGCCACGTGAAGTGTCAAACTCCCGCTGGCAGAAGGTCACGGGGCAGACCCAGGTGCCAGGGGTCGACTGACTGAGATGACTGGCTGATGCACCAGTAGCGTCCTTCACGAGCATCCTCCACAGAGGCCGATCTTGACACCGCTGGTACCAGTCATCGGCAAGTCCACTCAGCTCCACACCCTCCTGTACCACATCACTCCATCTCTTCTCTAGCCCCTGCCGCGCCCATTTTTTTTTTGATCCAGCCGAACAAAAGCTGTTTAGGCATGCGGGCTACATGACCCAGCGAATGCAGCCTTGCCTGCCGAACGAGCTCACCGATGGGACTTTGTCCAGATCTTTCAAGGATTTGCGAGCTCCTCATACAATCCAGCCTGGTTAAACCCAGGATGGATCGTAGGCAGGCCAGCCGAAATGTTTCTAGCTGGCGAAGATGTTCCATTAGGAGGGTCCACGTTTCGCAAGCGTAGAGAAGGGAGGGAATGACTGTGGCCGAGAAGACCTGAAGCTTCGTGCGGAGCAACAGACCAGGTAGCTTCCACACAGCGTTACGCAACCGATGAAAAGATATGCCACTCGACTGATTTGGAGTGAGACCTCTGCTGTCAAACCGAAGCCGGTCATGAGCACACTGCCCAGGTAGGGGAAACTCTCCACTCTCTCCACAACTGCCCTATCACCAATTGGGAGTTGTGGGGTGGAGTGTCCGGTGGTACAAAATAACTAGGCAGGTGCTTAGTTTTGGTGGGGCTGATGGTAAGGCCCCACCTCTTAGTGGCAGGCTCCAGGTTCAGCAGCAGCGCCTCCAACTCCTCGTGTGAGTGAGCAGCAATTACCAGGTCATTGGCATACAAAACATGGTTGAGCAATCGGGAGCCATCCATTGACTGCACCTGGGCATCAATCAACCTCCCAATGTATCTGTACGAGATGGACATTCCTCCGGTACAGCTATTGAAGGCTTCACAAACTCTTTGTTCGAAATATGTGTTAAATAATGTGGGAGCCAGAGGACATCCCTGTCGCACCCCAAGGTGAACAGGGAATGGCTCCGACTCCCAGCCACGTAGTTTTACCCGGGTCCGCTCACCATCATACAGGTCCTTAATGATCGTGAGCAGTGGGTCAGGGACTCTGAAAGCACGAAGAACAACCCAGAGCCCAGGCCCACTGATCGTATCATAGGCCTTGACCAGGTCAGATAGACAGAAAATATGGCATCTGTGCAGGACCGCCCTTTTCTGAAACCCGCATTGGGGGTCAGCAAGCCTCTCCTCAGTCTGCCTGGTAAGGCGATGTTGAATAATCCTTGCCAGGACCTTTCCCAGCAGACTGAAGAGTGAGATGCTCCTTTAGTTATTACAGTCTGTGCGGTCCCCCTTCTTAAAGAGGGGGACTACCAGGGCATCCTTCCAATCCTGCGGAACCTGTCCAGTGGTCCAGACTGTTGTTATGATGTCATGTAGGCAAGTCTGTGCACAAACGCCACCCTCCCTCAGAATATCACTTGGGAGATCATCTCTGCCCGGTGCCTTTCCTGGTCTCAGACTCTGGATCGCTTTCAGTACTTCCTCAAAAGATGGCACCTCAGCCAGCCACTCACAGGGGGTGACTTCTTCCAATATTTGAGGCACCGCAGTCTCAGCAGGATCATCCCCACTTTGTCCCATGATGTTTGCCAGGCTGAAGGATTTCCCCTCCCCCAAGGCCTCACAGAAATGCTCAGCAAATCTGCAAACCTGTTTCTGGGGAACGAAGATTGGATCACCGTTGAGGCAGACTCCATCTCCTCAGTAACCCGCGACCATCACCCATCCTTGCAGCGCCTTACGGCTCTCCGAACCTCCAAGCGAAGGCTGCTGTAGGCCTCCTCATTTTCTGAGGTGGGATATTGTAGACGATGAGAGTGGGCCTATCGCTTTTTCTCAGCCAGTCTGAACACCTTTTCTGTCAGCCAGGGTCTCTGGGGAGGTCT